CTGGTACGCTAAATTTCACAACTTCGCTTCGCTCTCGTGGATATTTCTACGCCATTTATTTAATATTCGAACAGTACAACGGATTTTATGCCGTGCGCTTATATCGAAACTAGGCCTAGTAGCTTCGATAGCAATCTACTGAATTAGCAACAAACCACAAACTATAACTGATGACTGACTGACTGACTGCCTGACTGACTGATAGTGATGTAATGTAATTAAATAAGAATTTTAATGAAATTATTATAAAATTTCAAACTCGATTATCATATCAATGCAGCTTAAAATCCTTTTTTCCCTACTGATACTAGGCTGATAGCCTTGAGAGGCTATATCAGCTTCGCCCTAACGTGTAGGTGAGCTCACCAAACCAGAGCGGTGCTAACACTAATCCTAGCAAGAGCAGTGCTTCGCAAAATCTGCCACCGGATCGGAAACGCGACCCACTGAGAAGATCCGGCGAGAAACTCAGTGTGTTGTGTCTATGGGTCAAATGGGCTAATCACAAAAATGAAAAAAAATTAAATTAATTCGTTTAACAATTGTTTAATTTTCATTTTCAACCTTCAATTTCATTTTAAATTTTCATTGTTCAATTTCTTCGTCCTGGAGAAAATTCACAAATGACAGCTTAGAAATATGTACGGAGTTATTGTGATTAGTCATTAAACCTGCAATCGCGTGACGTCATGAAATTGCGTCCTAACATCGTGAGCATCGGACATGATTATATTACCGGTAATCTGATAAGTTAAAAGTCAGCATATGTCATAAGTACTTGTGATATTGATCTAGAGATTAAGAACAGCCTTTTTTCCGTAAATTTATAAATATCGGTAAATGTACTTTGTGCAGATATACTCGGTCGCACTATTATCAAATCAATCGCAGTACCTCCACAGCTATTCACAAATTTCCTTTATAAATCACAAACCTACATAATATAACTGGTTTAAATTTTCTCCAAGACCGAACTCGGAAAACAAAACTCGTCACTCAAAACACACACAGGAAGCACATTCAACTTTTCAATATGTGACTAAAGGACATGGGCCACTCTCCATACATTGGCCCACTAAACGAAGTTCAAGGACAGTAATAAAATTAAGTTTAAATAACAGACTATATATCCCTTTTATTATAAACAAATTAAAATCAATATTGTTCTTGGGGATACAGAGATATTTAAAAAATAAGATAAGAATTTTAGGTTATATCATATGATTTTGCGGTCAATATACTGACACTTTAACATCATTATCAGCTTAAATATTATTTATATTACTATACTTTATGACACAGACCCAATTCAATGAACGCCAAGACTTAATTTTATGCACACAAAAATATAATAAGCAGGTACATCGCAACGAAACACTTAAAAATAACCACAATGCGCACGAGTGCGAAAACGATATAACATCTCCCTGTCTTACTCCTCTCTTTGACCTGATTTCCTTCGTGCAATGCTCCTGTACTCGGACTGACACGGTGGGGTTATTAAACAAGTACTTCAACACCTCGACATACCGATAGTCAATACGGCACCGCTGGAGAGATCTAAGGACCACCCAAGTTTCGATGGAATCAAAAGCCTTTTCATAGTCCACAAACGTCAGGCATAGTGGCCGATTATTCTTCGATCTTTTGTATAATCTGCCGCAGCGTATGTATGTGGTCTATAGTGCTAAAGCCTTTTCGGAAACCGGCTCGTTCGATCCTTGGGTTATATATCTACATATCTATTGTAACGTACCATAGGGACGAACTTTTTCTGTATCTTCCTTAGGTGCAACTTTTACTTCATCCTTTTGTGTTTCTATGATTTCATTTTTATTATTATAAACATTTACATTAAAACTTAGATTTTCAAATACCAAAACGATAATAAATATCAAATTTTATATTATTCTCTATTTTCATGTTTTTCTTTTAAACCGATATTCAAATAATTTAATTAAAAATAGGATAATAATATTTCCTAGTGAAACTCTTTCAAGTTTAATTGTATCCGTTTCATACATCCTTCCTTCATCCATCCAAAAACTAAACATGCCTTAAGTAATACTGCGTTTATAAATGATCACGTCATATGGACATTCACCTCTATAAAGAAGACCATTAAAGAAAAGATTCGACAAGTCCAGACGCCACCAGCAACGTATTCGCGCCAACTGTCGCTTTTCAATATCGATTCGGTGACGTCAAACATGATGCAGCAATGCAAACCGCATAGAAATAAATTATCGATCAGAATCTTCTTGCAATTACAAAACTAAGCATCCTGACATTTACGGCACGTTTCATGCCGCGTTTTAAAAAGTCAGTTTTATTTCATAATACTGACCGATAAGCCCACAGCTCATCTTGTAGTTAAATGTGCCCATTAATCATCACCAAGTTACTGTTGCTTTCTTCAGACTGGAAAGCATGATTACGGTACAAATTGAAGGGTGAAACGAAACATTACCGAAAATATATACTCACACTAAGTACCTAACATTTATTAGTATTATGTATTCTTATACAACTGAGATTCAGCATCACTTCTCAAAGTGGTCATTCTCGTTTTGATGTCTTTCAGAATTGGTGAATAAATAAGCTTTTCTGACCGCGACGGGGCAACGCAAAGCCGCCATCGCCCGAAACATGTCTTGTCGGATCCCCCGGATTCACTCTCGGTGCTTTTAGAACTCTCAAGCACCGGTCACCGTTCTCGTCGAAGCGAACTAACATAGACACAGCCGACTGAGTTTCTCGCCGAATCTTCACAGTGGATCGCCATTCCGATCCGGTTGTAGATTCTACGAAACTCTTGCTAGAGCTAGTGTTAGCAAATTCTCTCAGGTTGAGCCCTTGAGTTCACCTACTTGTCCGGGCGTAACTGGAATAACCTCTTAGTCCACCAGCTATAGATAGGGAAAAAAAGACTATTCGAATCGTAATTTCGCCTACGCTACTAATAAAATAATTTCATACAAAAACTCGAGCAATGTCGAAAGTCCAAGGGTATTAGGTATACAAAAACACCAGGAATTAAATTTAAAATCAGCGAGCGTTGACAAGAATAGAGCTAATCGCGTGCAGCTTTTTCTTCATATAAAAACCTACTAACGTTATTGTAAAGGAGCAGATATACAGTTTTTGTGCGAGTTAATTTCATGTAAATATCACAGAGTGTTTAGCGTAGCGTGAAATGAAAATGAAGGAAAAAAATTCTGGCTCAATAAACCTTTTATAGATTTTGAAATAAAATGTGAAATAAATTCATTGTAGGGACTAAAATATATCGATTTTTTTTTGTAAAAAATTAAATATAAACAAAATACAAAATAAATTGAATGCTACTGTTAAATATAAAATTAATCCCGGTAATCAGTATAGGCGGCAAGTATTTTAATCGCGGGTAAGAAATATCGAGATTACTCCGCGAGACTTGGTATCCAGTAAGAAACTCCAAGCTCTTTTAGCCCTGGCGACTTACAATTCTAGTGGAGAAATAGCAACGGCTAAAGCTTCAGCATATTTCTGGTCTTAACCAAGCGAACATTTTATATTTTAATAATTTAATTTAAAATATCTATATACTAGACGTTTTCTACAGTGTAAAGGATGACTAATACTAAGCTAAATAAAGCATTTAAAACTTATTTATAATAAAAATATTTGTTGTAAAACCTTGCGTCGGAAGTTTGTAAACAAACATTATACATTACACAACAAACTATAGACATAACATTGAATTTATGATTATCTAATATCTTACAAATATAAACGTAATAGGTACTCCAAATGTCGTGAAAAAACCACTTCCATTGTCAGTAATAAAATAACTAGAATTCAAACACTCGTGGCGGTAGCCTTGATACAACACAAAATATTTGACAGATGTCTGAATCTCGCTTACGACACTATTAAGATTAGCTTGCAAATATACAAGTTCCGAACAACATTAGGACGGTCGGTCTACCGAGCAATATCACCCGCTCAGTTGAAGATCTTCCCTCCATCGTTAAAACTCTCACAGACTAAAACCAAATACGAATTACCTTATTAATAACACTACATTTAAACAAATCATAAAAGTAAATTGACTTGAATGTCAATCGTAAGAATATCATCTATATAATCAACAACATTTAGTGCATTATTAACGATAACTCAAAAACGACTGGTTAGATGTTGATAAAATTTAAATGAGACCACATAAGAAGCACCTGCTTTGGACTTTAAAAAAAATAGAATCATCAAAGTCATCATTGAATCATCAAGTTCAACTAGAAAAAAGTTCTGAGGGTACACACACAAAAATTATAAATGATAATAAACTTCTCCTTTCTTGAAGTGGTTAAAATGATGATGTTAAAACACACAAAAATTGTAAATGATAAACTTCTCCTTTCTTGAAGTGGTTAAAATGATGATGTTAAAACACACAAAAATTGTAAATGATAAACTTCTCCTTTCTTGAAGTGGTTAAAATGATTATGTTAAAACACACAAAAATTGTAAATGATAAACTTCTCCTTTCTTGAAGTGGTTAAAATGATTATGTTAAAACACACAAAAATTGTAAATGATAATAAACTTCTCCTTTCTTGAAGTGGTTAAAATGATTATGTTAAAACACACAAAAATTGTAAATGATAATAAACTTCTCCTTTCTTGAAGTGGTTAAAATTATGATGTTAAAACACACAAAAATTATAAATGATAATAAACTTCTCCTTTCTTGAAGTGGTTAAAATGATGATGTTAAAACACACAAAAATTATAAATGATAATAAACTTCTCCTTTCTTGAAGTGGTTAAAATGATGATGTTAAAACACACAAAAATTGTAAATGATAATAAACTTCTCCTTTCTTGAAGTGGTTAAAATGATGATGTTAAAACACACAAAAATTGTAAATGATAATAAACTTCTTCTTTCTTGAAGTGGTTAAAATGATGATGTTATTATAGTTTATATGGGAAACTCCGTTTTTTTTCTGTTCCAGGTAGTAGCTCGTCGCTCCGACCTGAAGTTGATCGTCACGTCAGCCACGATGGATTCGACTAAGTTCTCGACGTTTTTCGGTAACGTGCCGACTTTCACCATCCCCGGCAGGACCTTCCCCGTGGAGACGTTCTTCTCAAAGAACCCGTGCGAGGATTACGTTGACGGAGCTGTCAAACAAGTAAGACGTTCCAGAGATTTACCGGTTTAGATTATTATTATTCCAGAGATTTAGATTATTTACTGGTGGTAGGACCTCTTGTGAGTCCGCGCGGGTAGGTAGCACCACCTTGCCTATTTATGCCATGAAGCAGTAATGCGTTTCGGTTTGAATTGCAGGGCAGCCGTTGTAACTATACTGAGACCTTAGAACTTATATCTCAAGGTGGGTGGCGCATTTACGTTGTAGATGTCTATGGGCTCCAGTAACCACTTAACATCAGGTGGGCTGCGAGCTTATACACTCATAAAAAAAAAAGATTGATGTGATATTTAAGACATTTCAATTCCAATGGTCCCAGCTTAGAAGTAATTCCGGTATACCATATAACAAAAAAACTGGCCCCAATCGTTGTTCGAATCCGAACCCTGACCTTTAGTATTCAAGATCACGATAACAACTAACCCAACAATGAATTTATAATTGATATTGTACAGTTTAATAGATCCAAAGGTTATAACGTTATAAGTTAACCAATCTCAAAGTAAAAATGAGCAAAATAACCTACTTTAATATAAGTTGTAGACAACGTTCTCGTACTAAGCTATGCCTAAGTCACGCTTATCTTTTTAGGATGTCTATACATATATTGTTAACCTCAAATTTTAATACACGTAGTTTAAAAGCTAAAAAGAAAACCCTTCGCAAGTAACGATTAATTTCATCTTTTTTTTCTTATCCTATTGATACTACTCAGAGTATTAGAGCGAAGTCATAAAATTGTTATATGGTCTTCAAACCGCAATGTGTGAGCGAATTTTCAATCTAGTCGTAAGTATTTTAGTCAATCATATTGACTTTCAGAAATTCTGTTACATACAAACAAACATATTATGTACATACCGAGCCAATAAAAGTGTATTTAAAAGCGTTTTAAAATAAGACATATCGGGTACACTCCATTGGATAATTAATACCTTACTCTTAAATAAAAAAACAGCCTTATTTAAACCTTTAATTTCGTTTTTTCTTCCTTAAATAATGATACTAAACCAAATAATTTGACCAATAAATGTATTATTATCAATCTGAATGGGACGCACGTAAAAGTAACATAACCAAATATTACGTCGTTTTCAGACCCATTTAACAGTTGAAAGTTTCAACGGTATGCGAGTAAAGTAAGCGAACAGACGGTGCCTAGATAACGCAATTTGTGTGTTACCACATTATCACCGTGCTGAGATAAACGTGGAATTTTTTATTATTATTTTTTGTTACGAAATACCCATTAGCTCACTCGAAACCGTCTGCAAATCGTAGGCACGTGTTATATTATAGACTGTGTAATGTGATAAACATGTTACATATTATATGACAACTGATAGATCCGACAGACCTTGTCCTGAACACGCGTCCTAAGTACGGAAATTTCAAACTGTTATTAATATTTCATGAATTAAAAATGGTCTTTATGAAACTTACAATTAATAACAATAATCAACATAAGAAAACATTTTATTGTTATTAATCAATAAATATTGCGACCATTAATCGAAATAAAAACCATCCTATGTCCTAAGTTGGAACAAAACACATATTTAAAAAAAAAGAAGATAAAATCGGTTCAGTAATTTAGGTGTCCATCGCGGACAAACAACGTGACACGTAATTTATAAATATATTAAGATAAAGATGATGACCATACAACTGACCTAATGAAAAGCAGTCACAACAGTTATCTGTAGATAAATTGTCAATGTCAAAGTCAGAATAGGACCGCTGCTTACAAGTAAAGCGTGCTCATAAATACATAACCTTGTTTGAACAAAATTTGAAAATGTATTGAAATGAGTTATTAATGGATTCAAATTACAAAAGGTTGTGTCGTAACATGAATAAAATTATATAAAATTAATGATAAAACGATGTATTTAAAACAAAATATGTATCTAGATTATTTATTAATTTTGTGTTTGTACGATTCGATGGATTGACTCGTGGATTTGTCTACAATTGAATGAAGATATTTTTGGTGTAACAAAAACAAAACTATATTTTTTTTTACATTGCAAAACTAATTCTGTTAACAAAAATGTATACATATCGCGACGCTTGAAAGGCAAACGTGACTAAGCGACAATAACTGCTTTGTACATAAATGATAGGCAAGAACCATATGCGATGCGCAAAAAGATATATATCTAGGTCTATTAAAATCATTTCAATCCTACAGCTACTAGTTAGATTCTACTACAGCTAGATTCGTTAAAATAAATTTTGTTTTCAGGTATTTCAACTTTAGATTAGTCTGCTGTAAAGTTCACGTATTGTCGCTTAGTCACGTTTGCCTTTCAAGCGTCGAATTATAAATATTTACACAAAATATGTACATTTTTCGTCGTAATATTGGCAACACTGTACCGATCGATGTCAACGACCTACAGTCCCCGACCTACTAGAGAATGAATGGATCTAAAGCATTCCCTCCTTAAGTTACATTTATTGTCCAACTATTTAATGTACATATCTCTATAAATAAACATTCGAAAGATTTCAAATTTTTACGCCTTCGACCGAACTTCACTGGATATCTATAATCCTCATACATTATCAAAGTATAAAAACCGTCATGATAAAAATTCTCGTAGTAATCGTGACATGCACGAATACGTATCATCGATGTATGTAGATAAAATACCACAAAATACCACAAATACCACAAAGGACCTGATAGTAGAAACAAAAAAGAGTAAACATATTACTCATGTCAAGTCGTCACGGTCTAATGGATAAGACGCCCGGTGTGCTCGTATCAAATTTTAATGATGCGTCAGCTTTACCAGGTTTTTTTTTTATTGCTTAGTTGGGTGGGCGAGCTCACAGCCCACCTGGTTCTAAGCGGCTACTGGAGCCCATCTACAACGTAAATGCGCCACCCACCTTGATATATAAGTTCTGAGGTCTCAAGTATAGTTACAACGACTGCCCCACCCTTCAAACCGAAACGCATTACTGCTTCACGGCAGAAATAGGTGGGGTGGTGGTACCTACCCGCGCGGACTCATAAGAGCTCCTACCACCAGGAAAAAACCGGGCGTTACTAGTGCAACAATTCATCATCATCATCAGGTTGTATCTCTCTACTGCTGGATGTAGGCCTCTCCCATAGTCCGCCACAATGAACGGAACAATTACTTCAGATCAATATCTACACGAATAACTTTAACGTCGTGTAAGCTCAAATTGTAATTTGCGTAATTACTATACAATTGAGACAAGAATAGACTTTAAGGATAAAGGCGAGTGCTGGCATTCACGTTGTGGATGGACTTCAATAGTCAATTAACACTAGGTAGACCTTTGAGGTCGTTCACTTTTATTTTATTGCTTTTGTAAGCAGACGAGCGTACGGCCCACCTGATGGTGAGTGCCGATGCACTAAAATAAAATAAAAAATCAAGAAATACTTGCATATCTATGACGAAATTGTAACCTTAAGCCGCAGATAGTGATTATTAAGTACCTCTACACGAGACTTTCTCCGGTACATTACAAAGGTATTATACAAATTTTGTAATCTGCCGCAATGGATTTACACTCTTAATTGCATGGGTGATGGTTGTATTTACGTCTTGGATCTGCCGATTAGTGTTCCCATGTTCCATGCTCGCAAAACAATAATTTCATTTTAGATATATGTACAAATTAAAGAACTTTGTTACAGCGTATTGATTACATAGACATTAAAACAACGTGAGTTCCACCTTTCTTGATACCTGAGATCGAAGTATAATTTATCTACAATAAGGGCTGGCCCAAACTAAGAAACTCAAACCCAGAAACAGGCAGGATGATAATACTCCCTGAGCGGACTTACAATACTGAATGCCACTGATGATTGCGCAAATTTTCTTACACAGTACCATGTCTTCATCGTGGAGGTTGGTCGTACCTGCCTGGTACATGCTTGAAGGATTTGAATATCGATATTTTTTTCAAACTTGTTTGCCGATTGCCCCAATAGATTTGAAGCTTGAACTTCGTCCCATTTTGGATAGAAGAAACACATATGCGAGACGGATATATGTTTCGTAAAAATTTTGTCGAGATATCGAATTTCAGTAAATAAAATCATTTTCTCACCCACACTTTGAACACTAGTTTAACTGTCCAACTTTTTAGCAAACTTTAATAAGGGCACATAGTATATTTGTGAATCAATTAGCTATTACTGAATGATATACAATTTAAACAAGCTCACATAACTTCAAACCAAACAAAAGAGTCCTAATTTTAGTTAGCCATATGGGCGCGCCCTTCACACCTATCGATTTCATGGTCCTAATTAAATTTGTCATTCGTTTGGACCAACGGACGTTGACCCGCAATTTGACATTATTGTACTTACAGGTGTACACTGTATAAAATGGTGAACGGAAAATTATATAGAATTTATTATTGACGAACGGCAAGACGAGAAATTTGTCGAATAATGTGAAAATGCGACAAACGTATTAATGACATATTTCGAAAGATCTCTCTTTTACTACATTAGGACTACGCTGAGATGTATAATTTCAAATTGGCTCTTCCCTAAAAACGTTCTCAAAACGAGCACAAAGAGGATGATTGCAGCTCGAACTGAAAAATACTTTGTAAAAGCCGAGATCGATATAAATTTCGCTGCACAGTCTGTAGAGTTCAGTCTGGAGGCTGCGCAGTTCAAGGTTATCCCAAGGGCGCACCCTGCGACCTTGTTCAGTTCAAGACGCTAGACTATTCGTTCTTATATAAAAAAGAATCTACCCCGAGCACGGTCTTAACTTCTTCAGTTTACGGTTGATCTCCAACCATTTCAATTAGTTTAGTTTTCGTCATCTAATTTACACTAAACAAATAGCTTTTTTCGGATATTAAAAAAGATGTATATCGTGATATCATTCAATATAAAGTCAAAATATTGTATTTCAATAATAATAATAATGCCTTTATTTCCCGAAAATTTTACATTTTAAGCTAACAATTTTAAGTAGACTAAAAAATAACTAAAAACAATATAATAAATTAAAACAAAATATAAAAAATAAAATCTACGCTTCTACTACAGAATGTCTCTTATCTCGGTGTGCCTTTCGGCAAAGGCCTCCTCCAACTCTTTCCACTGCTTTCTGTCTGCTGCTACCCAAAGGGGTCCACAGGTAACTTTTAGTTCGTCCTCCCATCTTCTTGGTTTGCGACCTCGGCTCCTCGCTCCATCCCTGGGGTACCATACTGTCACCTATTTGCTCCATTTTTCCTTTTGTTGTATCAGTAAAGTCACGGTGCTTATGCTTCACGGTATTTTTTAGATAAGCATAGAACGCTTATCTAAAAAATGCACCGCAATCTTTTAATGTCTCAAATCAAAACGTCCCCTAATGGACTTTAATATTTAGCGCAGTCGTATCTCCTCATAAACGTCAGAGATTCTACTGACGTCAGCTTATTCAATTGACGCGTCATACGATATTGTTTTGTACGTATTGCAACTATTAATACGCGTTTCGTAAACATTTCAAAATGTTTGTTTTTATTCGGACATGACATTTCGTCAATGTAGAGCCGTGTGCTTAGTGCGAGTTTTTTAACGTCCTCGATAGCGAAAAAGTTAACTAAAATGTGTATGTAATTGGAACAGCGCCCCTAGCGGCAAACGTAGGCAAATGTTCCAACTCTATACAGATTTGAGTTAACTTTCACGCCATCGAGAACGTCAAAAAGCTCGCACTAATAAGCACACCGGACAGATCGTATTTTACAAAATTACTGGGTACTTTTTTTTAGGTAACGCAATTAAGTATGACCGGAATATTAGGTCGGAACACATAGAAGTCACAATGTGCAAACCGCCACCCAACTTCAAACGTATCATCGAATTTGATTGTACCTATTGTGTAACAGCTAAACTCACCTTAAATCTACAAAGCATGATTGCTCAGTGACAGTAATGAACAGGGTTGTGGAACGTAGGTATCCTTGCGGGCTCCTAAAATGGCGTACCAACCTAATTAGTATGTTTTCTAGTACATACATTTTTTTGGTTTAACTTGGCTGTACAAAGAACTTAGGGAAAACAACACAAATTATTGACGAACACATTTATATATTTTTCTTTAATTTATATATCGTATATAATAATGTGTAAGCTCGAGAAAATCACTAAATTAAAAACGGAATTATAAAAATGTTTTTTTTTTTCATCCAAACGAGCGATTGTAAAAGTTTTTTTTTCATACCTTCATTTTCACTTTTAGGCTTTACAAATTCATCTGCAGCCAGACGAGGGCGACATTCTGATATTCATGCCTGGTCAGGAAGACATCGAAGTTACGTGCGAGGTAAATACGTTAAAATTTAATCAATATACCTACAAATGGGACAGGTACAAACAGGTGATAATCGGAAAGCGAATAAAAATTACTGATTGAAATTACCGGAGATATTTTTTATTTTATGTTTATTGCACTTGTAGGCATACGAGCATACGGCCCACCTGATGGTGAGTGGTTACCGTCGCTCATGGACTTCAGCAATGCCAGGGGCAGAGCCAAGCCGCTGCCTACCGCTTAATACTCTCCACAAGCCTCGTTTGAAGAAGGACATGTCATAGCGCTCGGGAAACACCGTGGAGGGGAGCTCATTCCATAGCCGGATGGTACGTGGCAAAAAAGACCTCTGGAAANGACATGTCATAGCGCTCGGGAAACACCGTGGAGGGGAGCTCATTCCATAGCCGGATGATACGTGGCAAAAAAGACCTCTGGAAACGCACTGTGGATGACCGCAGTGGCTCCAGGTAGTATGGATGAACTCTACTCCGGTGGCGGGCGGTGCGATGGTAAAAACGAGATGCCGGTATCATCTCGAACAATTCCTCAGAGCACTCCTCATGGAACATACGGTACAAAATACAGAGGGAACCCAAGTCGATTTAACGTCGTGACGTCATTGGTGCTAAAAAATAAATAAATAAACGAAGAGTTACATAACCATAGATAAAATAAATACACATATCGAATAGCTACAATTGACGTCATACGTCGTTTTAGCTTAACGTCAAACAATATGAAACCTGTAAGATTTTTATGAAGTTATTTAAAAAATGTTTATTTTACAATCTTCTATTCATTGACGACAAAATATATCCACTGATGTTGGTTCTTGACTTGTTTTATTTTACTTTTGTTAGGTATTAACAGAGAGACTGGGCGATTTAGACAACGCGCCCCCCCTGACCGTCCTGCCGATATACTCTCAGCTCCCCGCTGACTTGCAGGCGAAGATATTCCAGCGAGCGCCGCCCGGGCAGAGGAAATGTATCGTCGCCACCAATATAGCAGGTAAAAGACGATCGAAGCGAAATCGATTCGGATAATTCGTGTCACTCTAGATCGAATCGTATGCCCTTGCTGCTTACCGGAGTGGCAATTCATGTCACTTAGATCGAATCGTATGCCCTTGCTGCTTACTGAAATGGCTATTCATGTCACTTAGATCGAATCGTATGCCCTTGCTGCTTACCGGAGTGGCAATTCATGTCACTTAGATCGAATCGTATGCCCTTGCTGCTTACCGGAATGGCTATTCATGTCACTTAGATCGAATCGTATGCCCTTGCTGCTTACCGGAATGGCTATTCATGTCACTTAGATCGAATCGTATGCCCTTGCTGCTTACCGGAGTGGCAATTCATGTCACTTAGATCGAATCGTATGCCCTTGCTGCTTACCGGAATGGCTATTCATGTCACTTAGATCGAATCGTATGCCCTTGCTGCTTACCGGAATGGCTATTCATGTCACTTAGATCGAATCGTNATAATGTACAACCCAAAACAGACGGCCGAACTGACGTGACAATGACATTTGGCGCGCTAAACATGGCGGATTTTCGGCCTCATTAGACGGAGACGGAGACATTTACGTATATTCATGTTTCATTTTATGTACGCACTGAAATACTGTTATATTGTTTTCCTGCGAGTTAAAGTGCTGAGTAAGAACGAGATAGATATATGTTTATGTATGTGCCTTCAAAATGGGTGCTATTTATATAAGCAATTGTACGTATAGAACAATATGTCGTGTCCCTACTATATAGGTCTATGCAAAATACCTACAGTCGGATTTTTTATTAGACGAAGTCAACTGACGTTTACTGTGTTGTCAGCTTTTGATGAAATAAAAATAGTGTTGTGACAAAGTGAACGATTGAAAAAACTCCTGAATTAATGAAATTGCCTCAATTGTCTAGTGAATAGTTGGTGTGCCGAATTGCCGGTATCGGGTACGGGGTTCGAATTTTAGGCGTGCCTTGTACATACCAACGAGTTTTCGACGAAATATTATGTTCCTATAGTATCTACCTGTACTGAACACCGATTGTTTTAAACATTAAGAAAAACATTGCGAAGAAGCTTGTAAGACGGTCCTATTTCCAATACATCATATAGTTGAAACTATAGATGTATAAAATATAACAATTATAGGTAGGTAATGAAAAAAAAAAAACTGATTGTAGTTACATACTACTGGTAACATATTATTATATTGGAGCACTTTAATACAATTTTATATTATTTAATATTCTTTTATAGTTTGAAATTAATGATTACTCTTCACACTCATTGTTCATTCATGTGATTGAACGAGAACTGAACGCATCACTATTACTTTAAATATAGCAACATTATTTCACAAAGTGACATTAGCTACTGTCAGCTGGCTTCGTCTAATTAAAAATCCGACTATATATATATATATCCACTGATTTTGGTTCTTGACTTGTTTTATTTTACTTTTGTTAGGTATTAACAGAAAGACTGGGCGATTTAGACAACGCGCCCCCCCTGACCGTCCTGCCGATATACTCTCAGCTCCCCGCTGACTTGCAGGCGAAGATATTCCAGCGAGCGCCGCCCGGACAGAGGAAGTGTATCGTCGCCACCAATATAGCAGGTAAAACGCGATTGAAGCAAAGTCGATTCGGATAATTCGTGTCACTTAGATCGAATCCTATGCCCTTGCTGCTTACCGGAGTGGCTATCGTTGATGTCTTGGCGTGAATGTGGCCTGCTTTCTTGAGGTTCTACAAACCGAAACCCACGATAGCGCTATCTATGGCTGAAAGACCGTTTGATCCTTCGATTTTGGATTGCCTTTTAGATGCCATAGTAGGCATTATATGGTTGGGAATATCACGTCAACGTATTCTCCTGAATGCGGACCCACTTTTTTTAAAGGTATTTCATGACCTGGTAACTACGACCTTTCAAGTCAAGTCTTATTTTAATTTATATTCTTTTTTATGAAAAATGATAATATGAAATGAAATGATTTGAAATGAAATGAAATGAAATGAGATGAGATGATATGATATGAAATATAATCTCAGTAAAATGGTGGCCATTTACTGAGACTTTTTCAGTGGATTTTTTGGAGGATCCCGAGAATTTACGTTCAGCGGCTCTGTTTGATTTTCCCACATTTGTGCACTTTCACAGATACCTACCAAAACAGTTAATAAACCACCATTATTACACATTTAAAACTGAAGAAACACTAAATGGACAAAATAAAACAAATCACAATTCACTCCTTGCGTTCCCGCCAAAAAGTCTGAATGCGGACCCAGAACTCACAAAAACCACAAACACACACACGCCCACACACGTGCACACGTCAATCACACTCTGTCTCTGTCATTACAGAAACGTCACTGACCGTGGACGGGATCATGTACGTCATAGACTGCGGATATTGCAAGCTGAAGGTTTACAACCCGAGGATCGGTATGGACGCCTTGCAGGTACGACGTTCAAATGTTATAACAGGTCTAACATTCGATTTGATTTGACTGGGACCATCGACACCGCGAGGCTTGAAAGAGAGATCTCAGCGGCTGAATTTCAACCAGTCAATTAATGCACCACGTCATATTATTAGATGGTGTTTCCTTAGTTTCTCGCGAATCGTTAACAAAATTAAAGATACCTACTTTTACAGTTTAATGTCGCGTTTTTTATTGTCATTAGATTTGTTATTTTAGAATATTTCAAAGCTTTCGTGATCGCGGACCGTTGAGGTGTTTGTTACTCATCGACATTTGAATATTATGATAACTACCGTCTATTTTTCTATAAAAATTGTTACACGATAAAACTAATTATAAAAATCTAGAAATTATATATTAATATTAGATGTTAAAATTCCCTGTTAACAGATATATCCGGTTAGCCAGGCCAACGCCCGGCAGCGGGCGGGCCGAGCCGGGCGTACCGGCCCGGGCAAGGCCTTCTGTCTGTACACGCAGCGGCAGTACCAGCACGAGCTGCTGGCGTCCACTGTGCCGGAGATACAGAGGACGAATCTGGCAAACACCGTGTTGTTGCTTAAGTCCTTGGGCGTTGAAGACCTACTAGCCTTCCACTTCATGGATCCCCCACCACAGGTAAGTAGATGTGATAGTAGACGTCCTAATATATTCTCTCAGGTTGAGCTCGTGAGATCATCTACCCATCCGGGGGTACGAATAACTTCTTTGGCTATCAGCGAATAGGTATGGCAAAAAAAAGTCCTGATATAATGTCGAATATCCACCACCCTTGTCTAGTTCGAGAAATCAAATGTTCTAAAAAAAACTACAAATGAACCCGCTTGAAAGGTGATTTAAAGGATTGTACAGACCGGTGCTAGATCGCATCAATCTTGAGTTTTGGTTGGACGTTAGGATCTTATTGTTTTAGACAGATAGATTGTCTTAGAGACTGTGTGGTGCCGGCCTAGTAAAGTATCATGCCGTGGGTTGTACAGCGACTATGAGATTCAAAGGAGATGGGGAGCAGCGTTCTCTGAGTATTATATCAGTGCTCTGCGATACCCAACAAGCATCTACTACATCTTTACCAACAAGCATTTACTGGTGGTAGGACCTCTTGTAAGTCCCCGCGGGTGGGTACCACCGCCCTGCCTATTTCTGCCGTGAAGCAGTAATGCGTTTCGGTTTGAAGGGTGGGGCAGCCGTTGTAACTATACTTGAGACCCTAGAACTTATATCTCAAGGTGGGTGGCGCATTTACGTTGTGGATGTCTATGGGCTCCAGTAACCACTTAACACCAGGTGGGCTGTGAGCTCGTCCACTCACCTAGCAATAAAAAAATATCTATATCGTATATCTATCGAGCTATCTATAGTATATCAGGATGGTGGTGTCTGCCCAACCCCCTAAAACTTCTACGACCAGATAAATACGACCATCCTGCTCGTTTCTGCCGCGAAACAGTCGTTTCAATTCTAAAAGCGGCACGGTAGACTGAGCCCAGTCTGAGGTCGACTTTCTCCTGGCGCAGGACACGATCCTGAACTCGATGTACCAGCTGTGGATCCTGGGCGCGCTGGACGGCACGGGCTCGCTGACGGCGCTCGGGCGGCAGATGGCGGAGTTCCCGCTGGACCCGGCGCAGTGCCACATGCTCATCGTGGCCGCCGACATGGGCTGCAGCGCCGAGGTGCTCATCATCGGTCAGTCTCCGACTTCCGCTGCTCAGAGCAGAATCAAAACAAGTTTGTTAGAGCGACGCATAATTTTGATACTTTTAGGTAAAACTAGCGGCCCGCTCCGGCTCCGCTCGGGTCTTTAACAAAAATTTCAACGATATTTGACGTTGTTTTATTTTTTTAAATAAAAGAACATTTATGGCGGCATAACTATAATAGTTAGAAATACGCTTTCGCGACACTTTTTATAAACAATAATATGTTCGACAAAGTCGTAGTACATTATTTTATTCTATCATCAATAGTTTTCTCAGCGCACGCGATGTAAAGAATACTTTAGGTAATTTTTTTACACCTTGGGTTACATTATTGGAGTTTTAGTAAGGATGCCTATTTTTTTCAAAAAAGATTATGGCCTATATCACTCAGGAATAGTGTAGCTTCCAAACAGTGACCGTTTTTTTCAAATCGGTTCAGTAGTTTCGGAGCCTATTCAATACAAACAAACAAACAAAACTTTCCTCTTTATAATATTATTATAAGTATAGATTAAACATGTTTTGTTTTTGTGTCTAGTCTTAAGTACCTACAGCCGTGTTGCTGATTTCTGCCACGAAGCAATCCGGTTCTAGAACGAAGGATAGGACAGCTATCATTCCAGGGCTGAGACCTAATGTCTCGTCATGAGAATCACATTTTGATGACAGGGTATATTGGAATAATCGATGGACCCTAATTTTTACAACAATTTGTTGAAACTAACAAATAGAGAGCAAATACCGCTTCCATTTCCCGGAGTACAGCGACTTCAATTCAAAGGGAATACTTGAAATTTCAGTGTCGATGCTGTCGGTGCCTTCAGTCTTCTACCGTCCTCAAGGTCGCGAGGAAGAAGCCGACGCAGTCAAAGAGAAATTCCAAGTTCCCGAATCAGATCACTTGACCCTCCTACACTTGTACAACCAGTGGAAATCAAACAAGTACAAAATTATAATTGTAAACTAATATATCGCTGACCGATCTGTTAATAATTAATCGACTTGAATACTCACGATAATAATCATATTATTGTAATCGTTTTATGATTAATTTTCATACATAGCAGGACTTGTTGTGAACCCACATGAGTAGGTACCGCCACCCTGCCTGCTTGTGTTGCGAAAGAGTAATGTATTTCGCTTTGTAGGATGGGACAGCCATCACACTATTGTATGAAGTCTTTAACTTCATGTCTAAAGGTGGGTGACGACAATAACATTGTAATGTTCACTTAACACCGGACGGGCCTTGAGAACAATAACTCATTTAAGCAATAAAACATTATATTTATTTACCTACGCCGATAAATATGTGCTCTTCGCTAAAGGAAATGACCATATTGTAGTCATTAACGAATATGTCTAATCAGGCGTTAAACAAAAAATGAAAATCACGCCCCAAACACGTATAGATGTGGCCTATCTAATGCAAGCTCAACCGTTCTTCGCGATGCATTACTCTCTGAACCCTGACCGGCACAAATCTGACGGTGTGTCGTCACACATCGATCTGTATCCGCTGGGAATTGACCTTCTGTGCGTGCGGTCCGCAGCTACTCCAGTCAGTGGTGCACGGAGCACTTCGTTCACGCCAAGGCGATGAGGAAAGTGCGCGAGGTTCGCCAGCAGCTGAAGGACATTCTGCAACAGCAGCGGCTGCCGCTCGTGTCCTGCGGCACTGACTGGGACACCGTCAGGAAATGCATCTGTTCAGGTCCGTAGAGGGTTTACGTCGTGCGCTTATATTATATAGTTATGATCGTTTTACGTATGTAAATATCAAATGAATATATTTCTATGGAAATAATAATATCTCGAAATGTCAAGTTAGGAAGGAGGAAATGAAACAAAACACGACGATGCAGGTAATTTTTATATGACATAAAAAATTAAAGCATAGTTTATGATATCGACATTACACTTCGATTGCTTGGGATGGGCAGCCGTTGTAACTATACTTGAGACCTTAGAACTTATATCTCAAGGTGGGTGGCGCATTTACGTTATGGATGTCTATGGGCTCCAGTGACCACTTAACACCAGGTGGGCTGTAAGCTCGTCCACCCATCTAAGCAAAAAAATAATTAAAAAAAATAATGAGAAGATCATTTCATCGCTTTTACATTGTCCCACCACCTACCGGAGAAGAATTCATCTATGGTGCCCTTCCAGAGCTGACACCGAGCACTATGACATGTCCTTCTTCAAACAAGGCTTATGAAGAGTACTTAACAGTAGGCAGCGGCTTGGCTCTGACATTGCTGACGTCCATGAGTGGTGGTAACCCTTCAACACCAAGCATGTCGTATGCTCGTCTGCATACAGGGGCAATAAAAAAGATTTTCCTAGGCTCGTTATTGCCATTATAATGTGAATTGTCACAGCGTCGAAAATTGCTCTAACTGGAACGTTTCTGCGGAGATGATGATGCCCAGTGACAGATTGAGGCTCGAGGTCACTCTAGACCCTAAAGTGAAACTTTTATTACATCGTCTCAAAGTTTTTCGTCTGTGATTACATCGTCTCAAAGTTTTTCGTCTGTGTTGCATGTCGCGTGACGGTCGGCCGCGGAGTAGATATAAGTGAAAGGCGCTCGTCAGAGTAGCCCAGGTCAATATGGCGGCGCCTATAGTTCGCAGCAGCTGACCGTGTAGTGTGTAGACTATTACTCATTTACGCCAGTGTTCCACGCTATTTTGTTCTTGTTTTTGTCAGTGTTTAATGTAAATGTTGTTTGTCAGAGTTAAATGTCTATAATGTGAAAAAAAGTTTCACTTATACCGTGGTTTCATAAAACCACACTATCTTTTAATTAGTTATTATATATTATAATTTTTTTTATAAAATTATTCTGAACTAATTTTCAAAACAAACTGCGTGTTTTTACTTTTTTCATTTCTGAAATTTTGGCATTTCTAAAATTTCTCCTCCCCTCCCGTCATGTCGTCCTAGGCCCGGTTCTCACTGGTCTAGGCGTTCAAGTCATCACTGATGCTGACCGTGTCGATTGGGCCCGCAGCTTACTTCCAGCAGGCGGCGCGGCTGAAGGGCATCGGCGAGTACGTGAACTGCCGCACCGGCATGCCGTGCCACCTGCACCCCACCTCGGCGCTGTTCGGGCTGGGCTGCAGCCCCGACTACGTGGTGTACCACGAGCTCACCATGACGGCGCGCGAGTACATGCACTGCGTCACCGCCGTGGACGCGCGCTGGCTGGCCGAGCTGGGGCCCATGTTCTTCTCCGTCAAGGAGACCGGCAAGTGCGTACTCGCTCCACCGATACAATCGCTTTAACGTTCTCGATAGCGTAAACGTTAACTCAATTTGTATGCAGATGGACCAGCGCCCCTAGCGGCAAACGTAGGAAAATATGAGTTAACTTTTACGCTATCGAGAACGTTAAAACACTCGCAATAAGTACACAGGTGCCCGATATCATAACAAGAAAACTTCTTCAGCTATTTGAATGTATTAAACTTAATTGAAGTTCAATTAAAAACATCGAACTGTTGATGCTAATGCCAATTAAGTATACCCCAAGCGCCGGTTTGTCTTTGATATTTACAATACAGATATAATAACTTTTTGTAGCAAATATTATTTGTTGTATACATCCAATTTCACTATGGGAATAATTACGAAGACCTACTAACTATACTAGTGGTCCCCCAGTAGTTGGAATTCGACTACAATTAATTGAAATTATAAGTTTGTACACTATTATGATTCTATTATCATAGACTTCTATAATCACAGATTTCGCCAAGACTAGGTACACTATATACAAATAATATTAAAGACAAACAATACTAATCTATTCTCAATTTGACCACAGACTTTCAACAATAACAAAAGTTTAACATTAAACAAAGAGTATAAATAAAATAATAAATGCTGTGTCAAATAAATGGTAGAGTGTGTAACGTTTTCTTTATTCATTTAATGATTTTATGCGAAATAATAAAAATTATTAGCGTAAAAAATATTAACTTATGCGTGAGTAATTTCATACTCCTACAAAGTTTTTGCTTCACGTATTAATATATCGTCTTTTCGCGTTAAAAGTGTAAAATTTTCAAAAATATTCGAAATTATGTTAATTGCGTAAACATTTGGTATCGCCAGTATTTTTCTCATAAATACTGTCAAAAGAGCGTAGTTTAGTTTTAGTATTTTTTTTATAGTTTACCTATGTTTTGGACTAGGTACTATTAATAAAATTAATACATAATTTTATCTTACCTACTTTAAAAGACAGATAATGTAACTGGTAAAGAATAAAAAATAAATGTTGCAAATAATATTAAAAATATCATATGTTAAACCATTAAAACACTCTCCTACAAAATTTGTAAGTTTTGAGATTATACAGTTTTAATGCGAGAAGACGACATATAGATCTACTTATAGACTATCTACGTACAGAAATGAAAACAAAAATCTTCGTGACCTCATTAATAAATAAAAATAAATAAATAAACATGTATTGATATTTGTCTGTTAGATTTTTTAAGTTACTAACATAGATTATAAGTAATTCTTACTAAGAAAATGTTATGGTTTAAAAAAAAAACTAAAATAAAGTATAAATAAATAATGGCTCCACCAGATCGAATCGAGACAAGCGTAAAGAGGCAGCGGTCCACCTCCAACGCATGGAAGAAGAGATGAAGGAGGCCGAGGCCAAAATGGCAGAAGATCGCAAGAAGAAAGACGAAGACGTTCCCGTGAAGCAGGAGGTGGCCACTCCGGGGCTGGGCACCCCGCGCCGCACACCGCAGCGCCTGGGCCTGTAGCGGCCCGGGGACAACATTAAAACACTCTTGCAGTTGAATGTCGCCTTTGTTTTATTCGTAATACAAGCTCCAAATCTCAACTTTATAGCACAATGGCAGAAATAGGCAGCTTTTGCGGGTTTGATTTTTATTATACAAAGTTATTCAGTCACCGTGAAAAGGATTCGAACGAAGGCGAAAACTAGCGATAACAAGAGCAGTGATTCGCAGAATCTACCACTGGATCGAAATCACGAGCCACTGTGAAGATTCGGCGGGACACTCAATAGTATGTGCCTATGGGCTACGTCTCGCACGTCAAACTCTTCGTCGCAGGAACTGCCCGCAAGAGGGCGACCACTTCGTTGTCATTTTGACAGCTGTCACTAAATCACCGTCTCGAATGCTTTTTTTATTGCTTAGATGGGTGGACGAGCTACCGGCCTACTTGGTATTAAGTGGTTACTGGAGCCCATAGACATGTACAACGTAAATGCGCCACCCACCTTGAGATATAAGTTCTAAGGTCTCAAATATAGTAGGTAGTACATATTTCGTTAGAAAAATTGGTACCCGCCTGGGATTCGAACCACGGTGCATCGCTCAACACGAATGCACCGGATGACTTATCCTTTAGGCCACGACTACTAAATAGATAGAGAAGAGAGAATCTGAGACTACTTATCATTAGCTGTTTTTATAGCTAAAATGAGTGGACGCGCTGCCGACCTACTTGGTGTTAAGTAGTCACCGGAGCTCATAGACATCTACAGCCAAAATTCCCCCACACACCTTGAGATACGAGTACTAAGAATAACGCCAGAAATGGGTCGGTGGTACCTACCCGTGCAAGCTCACAAGATTCCATGCCACCAGTAATTACATGAATTTTAATTTTGCGAGTTCGATTTTTATTGTTACACAATGTTATTCCTTCATACATTTACATTTTCATATACATTCTCTTTTATGTATATAGATAAAAATAATTGATGAAGACTTAAATTCGGAACTTTTATTAATTAAATTATTTAAAAACACAGGTCCAAAGCTGAGACGATAATAATTTATAGAGTGAATACGTACTACAGTAAGTCTGTTCTTGATGTTTCCTAAATTGCAAATCGTCAGTAATTTTCTTTTTTTTTACCTGATCTTTGGTAGCCTAAGAGGCTATTCTAACTACGTGCGGACGGGTAGGTGAGCTCACGGACTCAACCTGAGAGAATTTGCTAACACTAGCCCTAGCAAGAGCAGTGCTTCGCTGAATAGTAGATTTACCACCGGATAAGAATCGCGACCCACTGAGAAGATCCGGCGAGAAACTCAATGGGTTGTGTCTATTAGTTACGTTACACGTCGAACTCTTCGTCGCAGTAAGTTCCCACAAGATGGCGGTCACTTAGTTGTCATTTTGACAGCTGTCAATTAATCAACGGCGCCTCGAATACCTTCGATACCTATAATTTCAGTTTTTATCATCGGATTCGTTTAGAGAAGGACTCTTTCCACAAATAAAAAACGTTTCCTTAAATCAAAATAACTTTATTTACAGTCATTAAGAAATTTAAATATAAAATAAAAATAATAATTTGAAATCTCTTACGTAATTTTTTATTACATGTAAACACGAAACCAAATTAATGTTCAATGTTTTTATGATCACGAAAAATTTAATATGATTGATAAAATGACACAGGGGACAAGACACCAGATGACAATTATACGGTGCAATCGGTTTGAGGCAACCAGTGTGCTATGAATACTAACTGTGAGCACTCGTGATCACACTGCACGTTACTTTAGAAAACTTCAGTCTCGCTCAAGTGACTTCCCGACCACAATGTGTAACTGTACAATTAACGCGCTTTCATGTCGACAAAACATATAAAAATATATTGTAGCGCTTACTAATAATAATAAAAGAAGATATGTGTTTTCGGACGAAATTTAACACAATTTAATCAAATTCAACTATTTATTTGAATAATTCAACGCTACTAAGTTAAGTCGTATCGGTATATTTTAGGAAATAAGATTTTACTTCGAGACTTTTTATTTATCTTAATGTTAACTTCATTATTTACTGCATAAACACGTCCACAAACTATAAACTTAGAGAGACTAAAAAATCAGAAATGCCTAAGGCGATAATCGATAATGAACAGCCCTAGTGCTGATGCAGCGATTTTATCGATGATTTAAACACAAATCTTCGTATCTAATTAATTATCACTAATATATTATTATTGGCACGGATTCTTTAGAGTTATAAAATCAAGATGGCCGATAGTTCCGTACGTATGCAGGGAAATCGGTAAACGCAATTGTCGCTCGTGCCAATGAAAATGTAAATGCACTGCCTCCGTGAGCACCCGTGAGCACGGCAAGCGCATATCGATACGGCAAAACCAGGGTACGTTTTAACGCGAGAACCTCGAGTATAGTCGGGCCAAGAAGATCCGAAAAATATTTCTCGTTCAATTGTTTGTTCCTTTATATTCCTTTTTAAGGCAATAATTTTTTTTTTACAAATACTAAAGTAAATTACATGTTAAGCTTGTAACGGCGAGACTGGCCCACAGTTTGATGTCGCAGGAAGTCGATAAAATGTCTTAATTAGTACAGATAATTTCACATTCCGACGAGAAATAATTGCCTTGAACAATGTGCTAGCCTCCAAATGACATGAAAACGGTCAATATTTTTAACAAACATTACAAAATTATTATTAATTTTTGTTTATCACAAATTTGCTTTTTTAAACGCGGTATTACTAAATATGTATTCACTTATTCGATAAAACTGTGAACTATGATTATTTTACAATACATTAAAATCTTTTAAAAAATATTTTCACTAAATACAGACTATATGAACTCGAAGCAATGATATTTTAACTTTTAGGCCGAATTATTCTATATCTACATGCGTAGGAAGATTAGTTTAATTATTTGACAATTAGAAATCTATGACATTACAGTGTTACGTCATTCTGTTCTGCGTCAGTCGACTGTGCTACGAGTGCGAGCAGGACAGACAGACGTCACGGGTTACGAGTGCGAACAGGACAGATAGAGGTCACCTGCGTCACGCCTCGCGGATGGGCGAGTTTACGTCAAGGGTCGCAATAGTATTATTATTTCTTTAAAAAAAAACCAATGAATTTTCGATTATCCATGTTTTCAGTTTCGTTTTGATTTGCGAAATGTTGATGAAAAAGCTTCTCTCAGAAAATGTTACCAAAGGACAACATTATATAAAATTGTCAAAATATTCTGTTTTTTTTTTTTTTAATCATCGTTGATTTTACTCGATTCATAACTGATAAAATTATTTCAAGAAACCTTAGATCGTAGGCAATTTCGAATTTCCTAAACAATTAATCGTATTTTTTTAACTTAATTTAGTTTCAGACGTCGGTACAATCAATGTAAGTTTTCTAATTATAATAATTATTTCAAGAAATTAATATCAAGAAAGGGCGACATTTCGTGTTGGCGGGTCGCGGCGGCGCGGGCCCGCGACAGTCTAGGGGTCCTACGTAACGTTCAGTCCGTGTTTCTCGATATATCTCCTGCGAGCTTCCGCTATCATCTGAGCTTTTCGCTCCTCGAAGCTCAGCTGTCGTTCCTTGGCCGTCTTCGGGAAGGTTCCTGTGGGCGGCGGCGTGACGTACCGCGGCGCCGAGGGCCCGGGCTGCGGTCCGGGGGCCGCATCTTCGGGGACGTACGGAGTCACGCCCTCGAGGAAATTCGTGATCGTCATGTCGACGCTTCCAGTTCTTTCTGTAAGTTGTTATCCTTTATCAACTATGGTAACTTTATTACTGCAGTAGACAGCGGACATTTGTGCCCTGGTATTGCTGATGTCCATGAGTGACGGTAACTCTTTACCATCAGGTGGGCAGTATATCTGTAGGCCTACAACATTAAAAATTGTTATAAGCATATTAAGTCCGCACCAGACTACCACCGCCCTGTTCGGTCCAGAATCTCATCTGACGGGGCGGCGCCCTGCGACCGACGGACCTCACAGTTCCCGCGCAGCTATAAGCAGATGTCATAGCTACGCGTACGGACCACTATTTTTTCTCTGGTGAGGCAGGTACTAGGCTGCACTAAAAGTATCGGGAATGGAATATTTCCACTGTTCCTGTCATATTAAAATCTTTTTAATTGAAAACTCCTTGGTTTTAAAAATCGAATACCATTTATTAATTTAAAAAAAGATTCTCGGTCTTGTCACGAGGTTTTGTCAAACTTGTTTAGTCGTTGAGAAAATGGAATTGACTCGAGAAAATTCAAGAGCGATGATTTATTATGACTTTCGAAGTGGTTTAATACAAAAACAGTGTGTTGACCGGATGATTTCTGCATTTGGTGATGAAGCCCCATCCAAAACCACATGGTTTGCTGAGTTTCAACGTGAACGTGTCAAGCTCAGTGATGATCCCCGTCAAGGTCGTCCAAAAACTGCAGTCACCCAAGAAAACGTTGATGCTGTGCTTAAGCTGATTGAGGAAGATCGGCATGTGACATACCGCGAAATTCAGGCAACTTTAGACATTGGCATGAGTCAAATACAAATAATCTTGCATGAACAATTAGGTGTAAAAAAGTTGTTTTGCCGATGGATACCGCATTCGCTCAGTGAAGAGCAAAAAGCGGCTCGCGTTACATGATGCGTCAGAACTCTCGAAAGATTCCACGCAGGATCCTCAAATGCTGTATACAACATTGTATCAAGTGACGAATCCTGGATATACACGTACGAACCCGAAGCAAAAAACCGGTCACGAGTTTGGGTGTTCGAAAATGAGTTAAAGCCAACAAAAATTGTTCGTTCACGGAGTGTTGCAAAAAAAAAGGTGGCCACGTTTGTCTCCAAAACCGGCCATGTTACGACTATTCCTCTTGAGGGACAAAGAACTGTTAATGCAGAATGGTATGCTAGCATTTGTTTGCCACAGGTCGTTTCTGAACTCCGTAAAGAGAACTGCAACCGCCGCATCATCCTCCATCACGACAATGCGAGTTCTCACACCGCGCACAGAACAAAAGAGTTTTTAGAGCAAGAAAACATAGAATTATTAGACCATCCGCCGTACAGCCCCGACCTAAGCCCTAATGATTTCTATACTTTCCCTAAAATAAAGAATAAATTGCGTATACTTTCTTTTATACTTTATGAAGAAGCTGTGGACGCCTACAAAACGGCCATTTTGGAGACCCCAACTTCCGAATGGAATGGTTGCTTCAATGAATGGTTCCATCGTATGGAAAAATGTGTCAAATTTCGCGGAGAATACTTCGAAAAGCAATAAATACATTTTTAAATAGTAATGTTGTGTCACTTCGTTAATTCCGGAAATTTTCAGTGCCGCCCTCGTATAGACTTGTCGCACTTTATACAGAGATTTTTTTAAAGGGATTTTATGACCTAGTAACTAAGACCTTTAGGTCGTCTTATTTTAATTTTAATGAAAACTTGATTAATATGAAACATGGCATAAAATGTAATGAACTGAGATGATATGGGATGAAATATAATCTCAGTAAAATGGTGTTCATTTACTGAAACTTTTTCGGTGCACTTTTCGAAGGATCCCGAGAAGTTACGTTCAGAGGCTTTATTTCATTTTCCCACATTTCTGCACTTTGCCTCTTCCTGCCGTGAAGCAGTAATGCGTTTCGGTTTGAAGGGTGGGGCAGCCGTTGTAACTATACTGAGATCTTAGAACTTATATCCGCCTATTGTACAAATTTATCTGTTTTTTGATTGTTTTTTTGAATGTAAATTGTGTTTTGGTGTGCAATAAAGTGTATTCTCTCTCTCTCTCTCTCTCTATATCTCAAGGTGGGTGGCGCATTTACGTTGTAGATGTCTATGGGCTCCAGTAACCACTTAACACCAGGTGGGCTGTGAGCTCGTCCACCCATCAAAGGACTATAAAAAAAAAGACATGGCAACACTCGGCGCGGGTATCCACGCCGATGCTGCGCCGAAACACACCTAAATCCTGGAGAATAGTTTTGAGTGGGACGGCTGGCAACACTTCCTTGACCTGGTTCCCGAGGCGCACGAGCGGGGCGGCGCGGTCGGCGGCGGGCCGGACGCGCCTCCCCGCGAACAACTCGTCCCACGTCAGCTCCGACACTTCCACCTGGCAAGTTCAATGTGGACACCCTAAGTTAATCCTCTCCTTAATTGAGTTTTTTTTTTTTAATCTAAGATTTTTTGTTCGTTTTTTTATTGTTTGTTCATTAAATTCGTTCAAACGCCTCATTAGGTAACATTTTTTAAACAATTAGCTGTCAACCACTTTAATTTGTGTTAGTGTAGATTCTGAAATTGGTATTTACTTCAATTGTATATTTATGTTTCATAGGTAATTTAGGTAATTTTTACTGATGCTAGGACCTCTTGGGAGTCCGCACGGGTAGGTACCACCACCCCACCTATTTCTGCCGTGAAGCAGTCCGCGCGTGAGCTCCGAGGATTCGGGGGCTGAGGAAGCGGGCGGGCGTGCACCGCGCCCGACCGTCACTTCATACCCCGCACTCTCGCAGTACTAGTGTCGACCTTAACGTGAGAGTACGCTTACCGACACGTTTATTTAATAAAAAAAAATTATTGCTTAGAAGGGTGGACGAGCTCACAGCCCACCTGGTGTTAAGTGGTTACTGGAGCCCATAGACATCTACAATGTAAATGCGCCACCCAACTTGAGATATAAGTTCTAAGGTCTCAGTATAGTTACAACGGCTACCCTACCCTTCAAACCGAAACGCATTACTGCTTCACGGCATAAATAGGGGGGGGTGGTGGTACCTACCCGTGCGGACTAACAAGAGGTCCTACCACCATTTTGCGATAGCAGTGTTAATTACGTGTGTTTTCTAATATAAATAGTCTTACACTTATAAGTCTTTTTGTTTGCACAAATAGCTATTTAATTTGATGAAAAAGGAATGGCGAGCACTAGCATAATAAACATGTCTTAGCATTAGAGAAACATTACTGGCAAAAGGATGGCTTAATGAAGGATGTTGTCGAATCATTTATTATTGAAGTAAGTAAGGAGATTGACAATAGTACATCAAATTCTTCAACTACTGATTAATCTGATTGCGAGAGTAATTAATAAGATTTCACGTACATTTTGTTTAATAAGTATCAGTTCATTAAATTAAATTCATACGTGATCAATTGTTTTTTTTTTTTTATTTGAAGTACATAAATACCGTCATAAAACTATTTTATAATTTACACTCGCACGGAGGCTTAAGATGTGTTAGTATCGATAGCGCAATATGGACTAATTACAACACTAGCTCATTACGTCAACATTCCTTAAAATTCCTCGGAGCTCGCGCGCGGACTGTAGCTGTACTGGTGACCTCTGAAGTTGAGGCGTGTTGGTTGGGGAAGTGTTCGCCACAGTACCTGCAGCGCCTCTGCGACGGCGGCCCGGCAGCGGTCCCCGACGTCCCCCGCGTCCCAGCGCAGCGGCGGCAGCGCGTGCAGCGTGTACACGGTGGCGGGCGACAGCAGGAACCAGGCCGCGTCGCGCCACGGGAAGCGCGCGCTGTACTGGCGCCGCTGCACCGTCGCACGCGTGAAGGCGCGCTCCACGGCTGCGCGGACATACGAGCCGTCACGTCACAACCAGATTTTTTTACTGCTTAGATGGGTGGACGAGCTCACAGCCCACCTGGTGTTAAGTGGTTACTGGAGCCCATAGACATCTACAACGTAAATGCGCCACCCACCTTGAAATATAAGGTCTAAAGTCTCAGTATAGTTACAACGGCTGCCCCACCCTTCAAACCGAAACGCATTAGTGCTTCACGGCAGAAATAGGCAGGGCGGTGGTACCTACCCGTGCGGACTCACAAGTGGTCCTACCACCAGTAATTACGCAAATTACAATTTTGCGAGTTTGATTTTTATTACACGATGTTATTCCTTCACCGTGAAAGTCAATTGTGAACATTTGTTAAATACGTATTTCATTAGATTCATTGGTAACCGCCTGCGGGATTTGAACACCGGTGCATCGCTAAATAGGGATGCACCGGACATCTTATCCTTTGGGCCACGACGACTTCAAACTGGAGCAAGATGGAGCAACAATAACGTTACAAATCACATTATTCCCTATAGGAAAGAGACCTAGCATAAACATAGAGATATATGAAAATACTTTCGAAACATTTTTTATGCAAAACTCTCTAAATTTACTTGCATAATTATAAATACTAGTGGTCCCCCGATAGTCAAAATTCGACTATAATTAATTGAATGTTTGTACACTATTATGAATCTACTGTCAAAGACTATTTATAATTCTATAATCACAAATTTCGCTAAGACTACACTTTAGACAAATATTAATAAAGAAACAATATTTAATCTATTCTCAATTTGACCCTGTGTAAAGTCTGTACTTTAAGCAATAAGAAAAGTTTGACATTAAATAAATAGTATGCATGCGTGTGTGTGTGTGTGTGTCAAATACATGGCAGTGTGTGTAATGTTTTTATTATTGATATAAAGTATTTTTAAGCAAAGTTTATAAAACAATTAACATTCTGCACTCCTTCTCTATATTCTCTATAAGTGTGGGTTTTATACCCCTCTGTCCACGCAATTTTCGTATAAAAAAAGTGGTTCAAAGATTTTGCTTCACGTATAGATATATAGATGTTTCACATATAAAGTGAAGTGCATGGATAAATAGCACTGTTCTGCCTATTTCTAACACAAACATTGATCAAGACGTAATTACTGTAGTATTAGTATACTAAAAATTCATTCATTTACAATCATTCATCAAGATACGCATACATACCAGGAATTTTTGAGATTGGCAACACAAAACACAATAACCAATATGTAAATAGTAGTGTGATATGATATTATTATGATATTAATAGTGGTACCCGTTTATCTCTCAAGGAGTAAAACGATGGTATTGTTATCAGTCCTTGATACGAGTGCAAATTTATAGCCTCCGTTTCATACATAGACAGACAGATCATGCTAATTTAAGTTTTCTTTTAAAAAACCTGATTTCTAAGGATCTTTAATATATTTCTTCTGTGGGTGTGTTTGTCAATGAACTCCTCCTAAATGGCTGGACTTATTTTAATGAATTTTTTTATATGACTTTGGGTGGCACCCTGCATAGTTTAGATTCACAAATGGCGCTGCAGTCGGTATCTAGGTTATTTATCTATACTGCAATTAAACAGCTGGATCGACTTGAATGAATTTTTGCAGGACACGTCTGTCGGGTCCGCTAGTATTGTATACTAATATGAATTTTATACTAGTATAATAATATATGTACTAATATTAATTTTATACTCGTATAATATATATAATAATATTAATTTCAATAAATGATATTAAGTAAATTAATAATTTCAATATTTACAATATTTAATAATTTAAATTCTAATATAGAAAAAGTAAACTCACTGATGGCGACCGGCTGCACATTGCTTTTAATCTGGAATGGCCAATCTGTGAAACGTAACACCGCTTTACCGTTCGTGGGTCCACTTTCTGGTTGTATCAACACAGGCTTCGTGGGCACCTCGGAGAAATGTTGCCTGAAATATATTTTTATTATTATTTACAATGTGATCTCAACTACTAATTTATTTTTAAGCCCAGATTCGTATGCTTCGAAGTAATGATTCTCTGTATTTCTAGTCGAAATATTAAGAAACTATTGTTATATACAAAAAAAAATTTTTTTTGATACAATTTAAGTACTTTTAATTTTTCCTATACACTTACTTTTTAGAAAATTGTGAGGCGTTCTTTATACCCAACGTCGATGCGAAAAATGGTGGCAACTTCCATCTTTTCAACTGCAAACAAACAGATAACTTTTAATCCTTCCGAATTAAAATATTCAGAAAATCACTAAGAGGAAGTAGATTAATTCCGGATTCAATTTAAATTGTTAATATAATGCAATTTTTATAATTATACAACTAGTTCCAGTTCACAGTTATAAGCAAAACAGGCAAAGGAATCCAATGAGGACCTGCCTATGATGGAATACAAAAAAAAAAAACACCCGTACACTGTAATGATCTACAATTAATATGTCACATCAAAGTGCAACATCTAGTAAGTAACCAACTCTATAATATACTTCGCTGCACAAATGCAAATGTAGAATTTTATATGATGGTGAATTAAAAATACTGAAGCTGTGGCTTAGAATACAAGATGCCTAGAGAACTTGTATGGGGTGATACAACTGTATTAGTATTCCATAGACAAATAACATTTTATCATCCACAATGTAGGTAGTTAAAGGAAATTCTGTAATAAAGTGCATATAGTTTTATCAGCATCACGGTGAGCAAGGTTTGAACAGCTGTTATATGATAAATATCACTTCATTTCCCAAGATGACAGATGGACTGTTCCAGTTACCGCTTAACTCTGGGTAGGGATTTGAGCTCATTAACCTGTCTATGCAATAAATTATAATTTAAGTTGATTGTGTAATTAGAATCAAAAGTAATAATTTAATACTGACACTTATGGTACCAAAGACATGTGCAGCTGCAAGAGAATCGAAACATGTCACATAGTTAGCAACCAACACACTACATCTTGGGTCTCTTTGTCCTTTGAGCTTCACATAGACACCTGAAACATATATATTTTCAAAGCATTAAATTTAATTGATAAATACAGATGACATTTTATTTTATTTTAAAGATCGAAACAGAGAAACATTCTTGAAGGTCCAACTATATTCCAAAACCTTAGTGAAGCTGGGAAGGCAATACAACAACAATACACCAGCAAAAAACAAACCTTAGAAAGTTTAACTAAGGCATGCAAGTGATAGGATATGAAGCAATCCAAAGTAAAACTATTATAAGGTGTGACATAGTGTGTGTATTGTATGATAGTGACTAGTAGTGAGCATTAAATACTACTAATACTACAGTTCCTACTACTACTACTTCAAATCCTATTAGATGATTACTTTGTGGCAGAGATAGAATGGTGCAGTAGTTTGAAATCAGTGCTGCCACCCTAGCACTAATAATCAATCGACAAACAGAGAAAGTTACTTAGGAAAATATGGTACCCCTACTGATTTTTTGTATGAAATTGAGTTTAGTAAAATGTAGTAATTAAATATGTGGTTCCAACCAGCTCCTCCCATAGATCTTTTAAATTATCTGTTATACCATAATATGTTGTAATGTCAATGGGGAACCGCACAAATGTTCACCCATCATGGCAACAAAAAAATTCAGGATGNAAACAGAGAAAGTTACTTAGGAAAATATGGTACCCCTACTGATTTTTTGTATGAAATTGAGTTTAGTAAAATGTAGTAATTAAATATGTGGTTCCAACCAGCTCCTCCCATAGATCTTTTAAATTATCTGTTATACCATAATATGTTGTAATGTCAATGGGGAACCGCACAAATGTTCACCCATCATGGCAACAAAAAAATTCAGGATGTCCCACTTTTCATTCAGACAAATAACACATATCATCCTCAGGCATTAAACACATTTATCAATTTTCAAAATCTTACCAAAAGTCCAACAAGCCAAAGTAGTTAACATGTGACTGACTGCCCATTTGTTGGGCAATATAATTGATGCAATCCATAATATCACACCCAGGAATATTCTGATCACCATCAGAATAACTCCAATTGGTAAATACAGTAAAAATTGCAATGCATTTTCTCCATTGAACCTGAAAAGCAACAAAAACAATAACCATTATAGTTTATATATCTTCTATTCTATTCTATTCTATATCAGTACTAAATTAAAAAAATCATCATATTGAACATTCATTCAGAACATTTGAAAATCAAACCTCTACCACTGGTTGCAAGATACCTATATTACTGAAAACTAAGATATGACAAAAAAAACTCAGTGGGTGTGATTTTCCTATGTCCCTGGCATTGTTAACGTTCATGAGTGGTAGTAAGCACTCACCACCAGATGGGCTTATCTACCTACTAAGACAATAAAAATACAAAAAAGAAATATAAACAGAATGACAATATATAGTAAATGAAAAGGGGGGGTGAGCGGAAATGATGAGTAAATGAACAGAGAACTTCACTTCCAAACAAACCCATCTAGTAAAAATCTCTTATTGACAGTCATTCTATAAAAATTTTGTTAAATCTTTGAAGAAGTAGTCATTAATTTCTGGGATTTAATTGAAAATGTGCACACATAAAAAAGTTACTTGTTCTCTTAATTTCAAATACTAGCCTTTGCTAGATGTTCTAATCTAACCCAATCTGTCAATGTAGGCAGCGGTTTGGCTTTGCCCCTGGCATTGTTGAAGTCTAAAGGCAATGGCATCTACTCACCATCAGGTGGGCTGTATCGTCTTTCTACAAAGGCAATAAAAAAAGGCACATAAAATTTTCAACTTAACCATACCAGGTTAAGTTTAATTAAGATTTTAATTTCCTTAAACTTGTCCCCAAGGACTTTCCTCATTGCATGTTATAAACTTATTATAGATTTCTCAATACTATTGTATTTGAAACACAATTGTAAGGTCAAGTGCTTTAAAACAATGTCTCTGAAACTAGAGATTTACATATACAATTAGTTAATCACTCAATGAAAATTTATATTTATTTTATGTTTAGATAATGTTGAAAATATGATTTAATATTTGTTTTTTCCCAATTCACAGTTCAAACAACTGAGACTGAGAGACTGAGAATCTTTCAAGGTTTTAATTATTAATACTGTTCAATGTACCTACTTAATCTGTTGCCATGTCCATAACTTGTGTTTGAAAAACATTCACATTTTAGCCTACACATTAACATACATATTGAAGCTGTAAAATCAAAAAACTAATAGACCCAAAAAGCAGCAGATCTAGGGTACTAAAGGTAGAGTGGAGATTTAAAAATATTTACTTTGAATTACAAGTAAATTAAAATACCAGATCCCATGATAGTTATCTAGTCTTGTAATATTTGAAAATAAAATAAATACTACTTTTACTTTTCATGTAATTAAAGTCTCAATGTCGTAGTGATTTTCAAGTATAAGAATTTGTAATTAAAGTCTCAATGTCGCAGTGATTTTCAAGTTTATGAATTTGAAGCAACAACATAATTTCGTGATTAGATTTTTCATAGACTAAATATTATTTTTATACTCAATTACATTGTTTATTTACATACATTATTCAATGAAATGCTGTGAAATTGTTTATGTATTTGCAATTAGACTGTCAAAAATTAAGATGTGAAAATGTGTAATTTTTATACGTTTTATTTTATAGGGTCGAGTGGGCATCAACTTTCCCCGAACTAAATCACGTAACAATAAATATTGTTAATATTAATATTGTACCTCTCTTTGTTGATTAACTTTTCTGCCGCAAGAGCCATCACCGAATATGTAGATAGATGTTTTGTTGAATATTTACGCTGTCTGCCATATATTTTTTATAAAATTCTCGATGAAATTATGATCACAGTAATACATACAGGCAATGATGTGTTCTTCGTTCGACATTTGGCAATCATAAATTATTCCGTTGGTTTTTTTTATTTAGTTACACAAAGGGAAATAGTTCCATACAGTTCTGTCTTTTAAAATTGTCAAAATTAAACCGAACCGTTTGGGTAAAAAAGGAAGTGATATTACTGTAGAAATTACTCCGCAATAGTGTTTTTGGAATGAAAGTGAATACAGAAGTTTTGTGAATTGTTTTGTTTAGTTAATTCTGTGCTTATTCAAGTTTAAACATATAAAAACCGTTTAGTGTCCATGAAGGTGAAGGTGAGTACATGAACAAAGTACTGGACTGGGATTCCTGGGTTCTTCCCAAAAATCTACCGAAGTCTCAACAATTACGATATTTCAATACATACACATAATGCCGGCCACTGGCATGCGCGCAAATATTCGTACATTGTACGAATGTTTGCGCGCATGTGAAGGGCCGTCAAACATTCATTCGCAAACCTAGCAGCTGTGCAAATGTTACTTGTTTACGAATGTCTCACGAATTTCTCCTCCTTTTTAATTCGTCAATAGAACATTGAAGAGAAAAAGAGTTTTTAATTCTTTCCCAGACATCATTAACAGCCATGCTGTTTTTATGGGATTTCTTTTGATGAAGATACGCTACACAGTAGACGTCACGATCTATGAAAATGGCGTATAGTATACGTCCGTTACCTTCGCAATCGTCGGCGCAACTGGGCAAGCGAATGTGTGGGAGACTACGCGAAGGTTCGAGGTTCGCGCGCTTTGATGTCTGTGAAAAAACCGACACAACTTGGAAAACCACGAATGCAGCGAAAACTTTGCATAATTATTCGCAAATGTCGTCCTACACTTGTGGGTTTGCGTATTCGTGCGCATGTGAGTGACCGGTGTAACATACAATATTTTGCGATTCATAAGAAACAAATATTTTTTTTTTACCCTGTTGATGAACTTCAATTAATTTCACTTTATTTTATTGTTTACTTCACAAAGCGGCAAAGTAATACCTGATCTCTTAAACTCGCAAGAAGCCGATGTTTTTATCTTGGTAGATAGACNCTTGTGGGTTTGCGTATTCGTGCGCATGTGAGTGACCGGTGTAACATACAATATTTTGCGATTCATAAGAAACAAATATTTTTTTTTTACCCTGTTGATGAACTTCAATTAATTTCACTTTATTTTATTGTTTACTTCACAAAGCGGCAAAGTAATACCTGATCTCTTAAACTCGCAAGAAGCCGATGTTTTTATCTTGGTAGATAGACCCCATCATTTAACTGAGAAGTTTGTTCATCCCATTTCATTATATTTCTATTTCAGTGAATTTTGTTAAGTTTTACTTATTGTGGAACTAAAACAACTTCGCCTTTTATAACAGAATAGTTATTGCGTGGTACCATTTGCTTATTCTATTTAATAATTAAAAAACACGTGACATTCTGGTATAATGTACAAGTGACAATTTTAAATCGAGGACTCAATCCTTGAAAGTAAACAAAGAACAACAGAAACATTATTATAATTATTAATCGAATTCATTTTTACTATTATTCGAATCTTAAGTTCTATGTAGCGTTTCAAACTCTAATTATAGTAAAAAAAACAAGTTCGAACGTTCGTGACAAATTGACCTTGTCTTTTTAGAAAATTATATTAGAAGTTATATCCATGGATGAAATCATGCATGCCCCTGATGATACTACCTGTTCTGAAGGCGAAGACGATCACAAAAAGGAAATTCGACCGAATGCCAACAATGAACAAGATTTTCCTCACCAATCGACTTCGTTCTCTCCGCCTACTCAAATGGAAGAAAAAATGCGTAGAAAACTGCAGTTTTTCTTTATGAATCCAATCGAGAAATGGAAAGCAAAGAGAAAATTTCCTTACAAATTTGTCGTGCAGGTAATCAAAATTGTACTTGTGACTTTTCAACTATGTTTATTCGCTCATAACAGATACAATCACGTGAACTATACATGGGATAACAGAATCACATTCTCGCATCTCTTTTTACTCGGCTGGGACTCTACACGTGAGATAAACGCATATCCACCAGGAGCAGGACCACTTGCCTTGTACAAAATCGATGAGTTCTACAATACATTAGACTATGCAGTTGCCGGTTATACTAATTTATCTAATGCAATAGGCCCATATTCGTACAATGATGAAAATAACTTTATGCCAGATCCTGTCTTTTGCCAGTACAACTATAAACAAGGCATTATTTATGGCTTTAATGAGAGCTACCAGTTTAACTCTGAAGTCTTTGAGACCTGTATAAATTTCACAATTAAAGATAATGAAGATTTCAAATCTGAAGCGTACATTAGAGATGCTGGATTGAACATCAGTTTCTCATCATTAGTTAGAGCAAAATTAATGTTTTCCATCAAAACCATCAACTTCAGGGCTGCCGGTCCCATAACTCCACCAGACTGTTACCGGTTTGATGTTGAAATAATATTTGACAACGAAGATCACGATGGACAAATGTCCTTGTTTCTGGAAGCAGAACCTCACAAGCTAGAATGTAAAGGCGACACAGCTTATGTGACAGATAATAAAATTGACCAAATACTCAGGAGTACTTTAAATATTTTAGTTATTTTGATTTGTGCAGCGTCATTTGTGCTATGCAGCAGAGCACTCTACAGAGCACAGTTGCTAAAAGAATTAACAGTACAATTCTTTAGAAGACAATATGACAGAGACCTAAGCTTAGATGGAAGATTGGAGTTCTTGAATATTTGGTATATTATGATAATAATCAATGACCTTCTGATCATCATGGGATCAGCTATTAAGGAACAAATCGAACGAAATCAATTCACAAATGATCAGTGGAATGTTTGTTCACTGTTTTTAGGTACAGGAAATCTGCTCGTCTGGTTTGGAGTGCTAAGATACCTAGGTTTCTTCAAGACTTACAATGTTGTTATACTCACGTTGAAAAAAGCAGCTCCAAAAATATTCAGATTTTCAATTTGTGCTTTATTATTGTATGCAGGTTTCATGTTCTGTGGTTGGCTCATTTTGGGTCCCTATCATATGAAATTTAGATCACTAGCAACAACATCAGAATGTCTTTTCTCATTGATTAATGGAGATGACATGTTTGCAACCTTCTCCATCATGTCCAAGAAATCACCAATGCTATGGTGGTTTAGTCGTGTCTACCTATATTCATTTATAAGTCTGTACATTTATGTTGTACTAAGTTTATTTATATCCGTTATTATGGATGCTTATGATACAATTAAACAATATTACAAAGATGGTTTTCCCAAAAGTGATTTGCAACAATTCATTGGTGAAACAAGGATTGAAGAGGTATCATCAGGATTGTACAGAGTGCATAGTTCATCATCACTCAATGCAATAATGAACTCCCTTTTCTGTTGCAACATTTACAGAAGTGCATATTCAAAAATTGGGGGTAGAAGTTCAACAGTTAATTTAATGTAAACTTCCATTGTTTTTATTTTTAAGCAATTGTGAAGTTCTTTAAGTGGATACCTAATCTAATCATAATATTATTTTGTAGGTACTTAATGAATATTTGTATATTGTACAGATATGTACTTTTCAATAAATTAGAGAATGGCGAATTGATTAAATGATTTTCTATCACTGAATATATTAGTTCAGTATGGAAGAATTTGTAAATAAAATAATGAAACATTTTAGCATGTGCACGTTTTATGTGATATTGTTTAGTAGGCAGTCTTTTTTTTTGTAAATTGAAGCAAAAAATCAATTTTATTTGTATATTTCTTGTTATTTAAAATGATTACAATGTTGTAAAATAATTATGAATAAATTATTTTTTCATATAATCTGTGTTTGGTTCATGATTCATTACAATTCATATCTAGGTTATTCACTCTTGAGCTATCATGTGTTGTAACTGGATATTCTTAAATATCTAACTATAGTTATAGTTGTTGTGTGTTGCAATCAAGATAGGTCAAACAATGATATTATTTTAATTTCGTTTTTTAACCGGATTTCTATTGACCTGTATTTGACAAACGGGAAGCCTTTCAATAAAATTCTTACAACTTCAAGACGTCAATAAAATCTGTACACATATCAAGGCTCATCATGATAATATATTTATTACTTGAGCCTAAATAAGTATCATTAGTATGTTTTTTTTTTTGCTTAGATGGGTGACGAGCTCACAGCCCACCTGGTGTTAAGAGGTTACTGGAGCCCGTGGACATCTAAAACGTAAATAAGCCACCCACCTTGACATATAAGTTCTAAGGTCTCAAGTATAGTTACAACGGTTGCCCCACCCTTCAAACCGAAACCCATTACTACTTCACGGCAGAAATAGGCAGGGTGGTGGTACCTACCCGTGCGGACTCACAAGAGGTCCTACCACCAGTAATTACGCAAATTATAATTTTACGGGTTTGATTTTTATTAGGTACACGATGTTATTCCTTCACCGCGTAAGTCAATAGTGAACATTTGTTAAGACCTACGTATTTAATTAGAAAAATGTTTACCCGCCTGGGATTCGAACACCGGTGCCTCCTTACGGATCCATCAGATCCAATAACTCTTGCATTAGATACCTTCAGCTCTAACACTAGGAGCAGGCTGAGGAACCCCGGTAACTGTACTCGTCGAACTCGACAAAGAGGTCGACGTGCAACCTAACCCATGCATCAGCCCGCTGAGTTTCTCGCCGGATCTTCTCAGTGGGTCGCGATTCCGATCCGGTAGTAGATTCATTCGCGAAGCAATTGCTCTTGAGTTGTTAGGTCTCCTTCGGAGGCGCTCGGGCAGTTGTTAGCAAATCCCACCCCTCCTGGCTGAGCCTTTGNTCAGTGGGTCGCGATTCCGATCCGGTAGTAGATTCATTCGCGAAGCAATTGCTCTTGAGTTGTTAGGTCTCCTTCGGAGGCGCTCGGGCAGTTGTTAGCAAATCCCACCCCTCCTGGCTGAGCCTTTGCTCGCCCACCTGTCCTGGTGAAGCTGGAAAGGCCTCCGGGCCACCAGTAATCTTTCAATCATAAAAAAAAAACCGGTGCATCGCTCAACACGAATGCACCGGACGTCTTATTCTTTAGGCCACGACGATTTTTATTACTTAGGTCTTAGTTGGAATACTATTAAAGGGTGTTTTTTTTTAGATATAAAAACTATAATATTGGTCCGTGCTTTAAAACAAGAAAACAATCTCAAGAACAAACATTCTCAGACTGCCTATATAACATCGACTATGGCGTGAATGGTATAAAATAGTATAAATATATTGCTAAAACTTTGCAGATGTCTATGGGCTCCAATAACAACTTAACCACCTAGTGGGCTGTGAGCTCGTCTACCTATCTAAGCAATAAAAAAAATCCAGCTACGCTCGGGACGGACAGGAAAGCTCACGGGCTCAACCTGAGAGAATTTGCTATTGCGGAATCGCGACCCACTGACAAGATCCGGCGAGAAAATCAGTGGGCTGTGTCTATGGGTTAGTGCGCTCGTCTAATGCCGGCCACTGACATGCGCGCAAACATTCGTACAATGTACGAATGTTGAATGCCGTAATGTGAAGGGCCGTCAAACATTCATTCGCAAACCTAGCGGCTGTGCAAATGGGTTCGCATACTCAATTTGCGAACCCGTTTGCGCTTCCTCCTACACTTGTTTACGAATGTCTCACGAATTTCTCCTCCTAATTAAAAATTCGTCAATAGAACATTGAAGAGAAAAAGAGTTTTTAATTCTTTCCCAGACATCATTAACAGCCATGCTCTTTTTATGGGATTTCTTTTGATGAAGATACGCTACACAGTAGACGTCACGAACTATGAAAATGGCGTATAGTATACGTCCGTTACCTTCGCGAATGTGTGGGAGACTACGCGAAAGTTCGAGGTTCGCGCGCTTTGATGTCTGTTAAAAAACCGACACAGCTTGGAAAACCACGAATGCAGCGAAAACTTTGCATAATCATTCGCAAATGTCGTCCTACACTTGTGGGTTTGCGTATTCGTGCGTATGTGAGTGACCGGTGTTACTCTTCGTCGTAATCGACGAGTTCAACGAAGACGGTGACCAGTGCTTGAGAGGCCTAAAAGTCAAATATGAAGTGTATAATCTATGCCTAAAAGCGCCGAATTTATGATCTATATTAACCAATCAATCATCAACAATCAATTTGAATGAACGTACATCATTCATTCACTTACAATTTAATAAATTTAAATATTATGTAATCTTTTTTGGGCATAATTGGCCATTCCTGCACGCAGGTATCCATGGTATGAAAAATACGGCATAGTCACATCCTAGTCTCTCCCTGTTGTTACTAAGTTACTATTTTGAGCTAGATTGAATTCAATGAAATCATTACCTATCCTTTCTTGCCTTAAAGCAATACCTTTACAATGATATACCATGAATTGGCAATGAAGTAAGTAATAACAAACTTTATTATAATATCAATTTTATTCAATACTAATAAATCATTTTATTGCCTTTACAATTATTATACAATTATATTCGCAGAGCTTGCTGCTAGAATTATTATATACAGGTGTTTCTTGACGCAAAATATTCATTTACAAATTGTTTTAGCATCTGTTACATACAAATTAATATCAGACTAATTAATTAATTAGGAACATAATTTACTTTTGAATATAGACAAATGAATGAAACGACGGAGAAGAAAAAGAAATTGTTAATTTATCAAACAAATCTTAATCTGTAAAAAGTCTCATTTACATTTTATTCTTAATTCTAATAAAATAAATAATAGTTAAACCCTTCCATAATTAAATTAACTAACATAATATATTTTATTTACAAAAGTAATATTTGAATGGCATTTAAAACCGATACTATCTATCTATACCACCACAGATGGCACAAAATTTAATCTGTTTTATGGAATATGACATTGGTTTGAAAACTTTTGGGCGGGAACGCGAGGAGTGAAGTTGTGTGATTTGTTTTATTTTGTCTATTTAGTGTTTCTTTAGGTTTAAATGTGTAATAATTGTGGTTTATTAGCTGTTTAATATCAGTGAAAGTGCACAAATGTGGAAAAATGTAACAAAGCCGCTGGACGTAACTTCTTGGGATCCTCCAAAAAGTTCACTGAAAAAATCTCAGTAAATGACCACCATTTTACTGAGATTTTATTTCATCCCATTTCATTTAATTTCATCCCAGTTGATTAATGTCGCAAATTAATTATCTTCATTTCATTTCACCCCATACATTTTTCATAAAAATATGAATATAAATTACAATAAGACATGACCTAAAGGGCCTAGTTACCAGGTCATAAAATCCCTTAAAAAAACATTGGTTTAAAACACACGGAAAAAATTAATTGTGGCTGTGACTTTTTGGGCGTATATAAACCCTACAATTTAGTAATAATGTTAGTTATTGTTTACTATACACTTTTACTCTTGCTATATACATTAGTTGTATATTCCGCATAATGTTCGAAACACCTTCTCATTAGCCGGATCCACACCGGACGATCCAAAATGGATCGGCGATCCCGTGATCCGCGATTCAAGATCGTGATGCGTGGATCGTTCTAGGTTGATCCAACAGCAATCTTTTGCGATCCTGACTGGCTGCTCCAACGCGCTCCTGCCGATCCATACTGAAATTACTGAATCAGTTGAATTTTGTCTGGCTATGGATGGAGTCACACGTGCAACGACGGCGACGAATAGCCGTCTCAGCAGCAAGCTACATTTTACTTATATATTTACGGCAAAAATTACGAAAACGAAAAAGACAGTAATGGGTTAAAACAATTTTTAAAAACCGGTTGGAATATGGGACTTGACTTTACAAAGAGTTAATTGATGATGGAGCTGAAGCTAATTTTGCACGAATGACTGCAAATCAAACATTTATTCTCCCTATCTAAGGAAATTAAACGGATACATTGCGAATTACCCATAACGGCGGATCACGCGATTCTAAATCGTAGACCACGCGCGCCAAGCGACTAAGGCCCCTTTGTGCGTGACCAAAAAACCGACAACAAATGGATCGCACGCGGCGAGGAGCGCGCGCTCTCCGCCGCGCACTTGCATCGCGCGCGGCACGTCTACACTTCACGCTCCGTGGAGCGCGCTCCATGCCGCGCGGGATCGGAGCGCCTTGGATCGTCCGGTGTGGATCCGGCTGTTAAGAAATACATAGATACCATTTTTATTTAACGTAACAATTTTTTTTTAAATTAATAGCTACCACGTTAGGAAAATTAATAAAAAAACTAAAGCTACATCTTTTAAGACTTAGGTACCTTGTTTTTAAAATATTTAATAATATCAGATTGATAACGATAGCTAATGAAGGTAAAAACATCCACACCGCTTACAAGGATACACATAATTCGATAAAATGAATTTAAACACTGATAATTTACCCAAATTTAAGCTCATGTGCATGCAATGTTATCATTATAACAGGGCCGTCGTCTATATTAAAAATTGTGTTTTTATAATATGCTTCGTACGTTTCATAAGCGATACAATAAAATCAGCAAAATCAAAATTCTCAACTTCAATTTCGACAATCGGTAATAAATAATCATATATATATATATATATAAATAATAAATTCCTGACACACGTACATTCTTTGGTTAGGAAAATATTGCTTACATAACATAAACACCAAAGAACTAGGGTTACGTCAAAAACACTGTCAATTAAACAGCACGACATTCAAACTTAACCGAGCGTCTTACACAAATATTTGTCAGTCTGTTCACTTTTTGTCTTCTACGTTTCTATCTTGTGGTGTCGCTCCTAACATCACTTGAATTTCTTGAAGGCTCTTGCCTTTTGTCTCTGGTATTACGAAGAAAATGAATACAAAACCAATCAACATGATGCCTGCGAACATCCAGAATACCTGACCAGATCCAATTGCAGTATTCAAGGCAAGGAAGGTGCTCGTCACCGTAAAACTAAGCAGCCAGTTCAATGTCCCGGCAGTGGAGGCGACGAACGCCTTTATGTCAATATTGCAGAGATCTCCAGCCATCATCCACGGGATCGGACCGAAACCAAGCGAGAACGCGATGATGAAAAGAGACAAAGACAAAAGAGGTAACCAGAAAAGACTTTGAACTATATCAGAATTTTCTCCGTGCGTACTTTGTAAGAAGAAAAACACCCCCAAAGCCGTCGAACACAAGCACATAACCAAAGCGGAGAAGAGAAGCAAAATACGTCGGCCTAATTTGTCGACAACCAAACTGGATACAAATGTGGCGATTACTTGGATGACGCCGATGATAATGGTCGCGATCGCGGCCGGAATTGTGGCACCGGCAGCAGCGAAAATCGATGAGGTGTTAAAGATGACCGCATTTATACCAGAGAGCTGTTGGAATATCATAAGTGCGTAACAAATTATTATCGCTTTAATAGACGTTTTCTTCGTAATAGCTGATCCNACAACCAAACTGGATACAAATGTGGCGATTACTTGGATGACGCCGATGATAATGGTCGCGATCGCGGCCGGAATTGTGGCACCGGCAGCAGCGAAAATCGATGAGGTGTTAAAGATGACCGCATTTATACCAGAGAGCTGTTGGAATATCATAAGTGCGTAACAAATTATTATCGCTTTAATAGACGTTTTCTTCGTAATAGCTGATCCAAATGAAACTGGATTGTTCTGTGCTTCTTCAGCGCTCAGTTTCAAAGAGTCCAGCTCGTAGTCAACATCGTAATTGGTACCGCGTAGTTTAATTAGTGCTTCTCGAGCTTCATCGTTTCTGTTTTTTACAACCAAAAATTTTGGACTTTCAGGCATGAAAAAGAACACAATACCAAAGACAATAGGTATCAGAGTGCAAAGAATATTGAAAAGGAACACTGATGTGTAACTACCCACTGCATAAGCAAATAGAATACCAACTGTGATCATCAGTTGGAAGTAGCTCCCTAGGGTACCTCTGATGGAGTCTTGCGCTATTTCACTAGTGTATGCCGGTGCGGTGACACAGAAAGCTCCTCCTGCAATACCGGTAATGAGTCTTCCGCCTATGAGCATACCGACACTCGTACCAAAAGTTATAAGAAGCCAGCCCAAAGTGAACGGGAGGATGAGAAACAGCATAGTTTTTTTTCGTCCAATAGCATCCATGACCAGGCCAATTGGAAAACAAATTGCAGCAGCACCCAAGTTGATGACAGACCCAATCCAGCTTCCTTCAGTTTCGCTGATGTCAAAATTGTAGTCTGTATTGTTTGGTTGTGTTATTTTGAACACAACTGGCGAAGACCAACCAAGCATTGTTCCAGCAGCTAGTGCTCCAAGGGTAGCTGAAATAGACAAATACAAGGTGATTTAAAAAATATATATAAACCCTAAACTGTAAAAATAATTGTAAAATAAGAAAAAATTGAGACTTTAGAATATAGAGTACCTAGTAGATCTTAGAATAGAATATAGATATTTCAAGGTAGGTGGCGGCATTTACGTTGTAGATATTTATGGGCTCTGGTAACCTCCTACCAGCAGGTGAGCCGTGAGCTCGTCGACCCACTTATGCTTTAAATAAAAAAAAGTCAATACTGAATTTTTTCTAAAATTTTCTATATTTTGTATTTTAGGGGTTCTATGTTTAACTGTTGTTTTCTGTACGTTCATTGAATTTTCTGTAATGTGTAGGCTGATTTTGAAAATTATGTTGCTCTTTCTAAAACTCTGCAGTTAGTACTGTTAAATTAAAGAGGGTGCCATCAAATAATTCCTGGAGTACTCTCAGAGGTGACTCCCTGATATGATAAAATTATTACAAAAATGTGCTTGTTTTATACCTGCTAAAGCAGCAATGTATTGAGGTAACTTGCGACCAGAATCTCCCCGAGGAGCAACCAGTTCTGTTTGAGAGACACCGAGATTTGCCATCCTGCCGTTTGTGTTTGTCTCGCTAGCACACTGCAACAAATGAATTAATATATTATTAGATAAACAAGTCTTTCATCTCGAGCTTTATAACACTCTTGGACTTGAACATTAATTTGTCAAACTGTAAAGTGTATAAAGTTTGCAATAGATTTGTGTTCACATTGGTTACCAGATATTTTCAGGAAGCTTACTTCTAGCTATAACTTCAAATTAATAGAACTTACACAGTAAATCACATCAATGTGAACACAAAAGTCATTGTGGCCTAAAGGATAAGACGTTCGGTGCATTCATATATAGCGATGCACCAGTGTTCGAATCCCGCAGGCAGGTAACAATGTTTCTAATGAAATACGTACTTGGTAAATGTTCACGATTGACTTCCACGGTGAAGAAACAACATCGTGTAATAAAAACGAACCCACAAAATTATAATTTGTGTAATTACTGGTGGTAGGACCTCTTGACTCCACATGGGTAGGTACCACCGCCCTGCTTATTTCTGCCGTAAAACCTTAATGCGTTTCGGTTTGAAGGGTGGGGCAGGCGTTGTAACTATACTGAGACCTTAGAACTTTATATCTCAAGGTGGGTGGCGCATTTACGTTGAAGATGTCTATTGGCTCCAGTAACCACTTAGCACTAGGCGGGCTGTGAGCTCGTCCATCTAAATAAGCAATAAAGTAAATAATTCTCTGCTTACAATTTTCGGTCTCGCTACAACAATTCTTTTTGCAAGTGTCAAAATATAATGAGAACATGTGACATACTACAATACGTATCTAATATGATATAATCGTCATTTTCAAGTGTTCCTATCTGGAACTCAATTAAAATTAAAGTTTTATGCAATGAAAATATAAAAAAATTGTAATCAATCAATACTCATCCTGTTTATCAAAATTTCTCTAATAATTAAAAAGTAAATGCAACCAATTTAATTTGGATAATCTTTTATAACCATAAGATTTATAGTATCAGAAAGTCATTTAATTAATGGTTCTTTTTTTATATTCATAACAAATATATATCTATAATAATTAAAGATAAGCAGGTTATCAGTAAAGAAATAAAACAATAACAATTATCGTATTTAGACTGGGACGTATAAACAGTTTTATTGTAATTTTTTTAATCCTGAACAATATTATTGTGCATTTGTCTTTGTTTGGTACCAGAACATTATGCTTTCTTGCTCATCAGGATTTTTTTTTTTATAGCTTAGATGGATGGACGAGCTCACAGCCCACCTGGTGTTAAGTGGTTACTGGAGCCCATAGACATCTACAACGTAAATGCGCCACCCACCTCGAGATATAAGTTCTAAGATCTCAGTATAGTTACAACGGCTACCCCACCCTTCGAACCGAAACGCATAACTGCTTCACGGCGGAAATAGGCGGGGTGGTGGTACCTACCCATGCGGACTCCCAAGAGGTCCTACCATCAGTGATTACGCAAATTATAATTTTGCGGGTTTGATTTTTATTACACGATGTTATTCCTTCACCGTGAAAGTCAATCGTGAACATTTGTTGAGTACGTATTTCATTAGAAAAATTGGTACCCGCCTGCGGGATTCGAACACCGGTGCATCGCTACCTACGAATGCACCGGACGTCTGTCTTATCCTTTAGGCCACAACGACTTCACGGATCCTGGTTCGATGATGATTGAAACTTATGGAAGCCCATATTAAATAAGCTTTAATTCTAATCGTAATGTTCGGAAGCTATGTGCCATTATAGCAAAAAAAAAAAAACAAAATAGAACCATGTGGCTAACACTCAAATCTTAATATTACATTATACGTAGATCGAAACACGCAAATAAGAAATATTATTTATAGAAGGGTTTAATTAGTATTTGTTTAATTAATATTAAACAATCAAACTGACCTCATTTCCGATATTTGAACTTGATTCGGATACAGGGATCGCGGGAAGCAAAGGTTCCCTTTCATCATCACTACCTCTTTTTCGAAATAAGCACGATCTCATTTTGTCTCTAAATTTACTAACACCTTTAACAATACATAGCCTTGTCAATAAACTGTTTATTTATGTCTTACATTTCTATGAGTTTATTTACTACGTAGATACGGTATCGGTATACATTTGACGTTTACTGTCAGTGTCAAAGCTGTCAAATCTGACATAATGCTTTTTTAATTCTTTTATTAGAAGAGTATAGAAAATATAGCCAATACAGCTTTACATGGCAATATTTTGTAGTAATAAGTTTAAGCCATTTCAGTTTTTCGGAAAGCTAAATGGGACAAATATAAGAAGATGATATCACACAGCACGGTTGGATGAGGTAAAATGAGTAAGTCAGTCAGTCCTCAGTAAAATGATAAGAATTTACTGAAAACTCAATGGACTCGGGTCCGGGACTCTTACCATTTTACGAGCTATGATACAAAATAGTCAAGGGAACCATTATGCAATATTAAAATCTGAACAAACACTAATAAATAAAAATTCCCATTATCAAAATAATATGCCTCGTGTTACCTCGCATATCTATACTCTGCACAAAGGGATTGTTATATTTCACATTTATCAAAGAAGTTTATTATTGTTATAACTGTAATTAATTGTCTTAAATATAACGTGTATTATCTGTGATAAATTGCTAGCTAATTCATTAGTTATTCCAACTAAAATGAAATTTACAACCTAAATTTTATATTTTTACATTTACAATTACTATATTACCGATCAAACGAAATATACGATTATAAACATATATATGTGATACGATTTAATGGATGTGAGCAGCGTGTTTGGCTACTAAATAATTTTGATCCTGTTATTTTTAAGTTAGTATTTTAAGTATTCTGATACATAGGAATAAGTGCCTAAGTATTTATTATTTAAAAAAAAAACAAGTTGTTTCAGAAATTCTGTGCGAAAATGCAGGTACAATGTAATTTTGTCATATTACACACTACTGCCGCACTTTCGTAAGTTTATTTTGCGTCGAGTGGTGAGTTCCAGACTTTTGCGTATGCAGTATGAACGTGAACGTGAGACATGTTGAAGTCCTTCATAACAATTAGGGCGTAAAAACTGGCGTAAAAAAAGAAGAAGAGAAGATGCTGGGTGAAATAACGGCTTCTGTTGAGAAGTTGAGTGTCGCATATAAACGTACATTTTCGGAAATATCTGAGAATGAATTCGAATCGCTTCAATCATTTTACTTATGTAAAAGATTCACAAAAGTATTACTGGTAAGGAGCGTTTAGTGGTTACACTGTGGTCATTGGATAATGAGAAAAAAACTCAGCTCAAGATTTAGAAGAGCTCAAAAGGCGCGAATTACGCTCTGCACGTGCAAATCTGTAAGGTCGGTCAATAGAGTTTGGCGATCCAACTATTAGCAAAGCTGCCCGACTTACCAGTTTCGAGCAGCCAAATCGCACCGTCCGTAGACATCTTATTCATTTAGAATTCTTAAGAACATGAACATTTCCAAGACGAAGCCACGACGAAGAAAAAATCACGATGTGACATTTCGAAATTTCGTAATGGCGGTTTGTTTGTTCGCCGACTAATCTCCGTGGTAACCACAAACAGATTAAATGTTGCTAGATGACAGCTAAAATAATTACAATCACAGCTAAAAGCGAAACCCAAAAAAATTTCGAGGCCCACCAATACGAATATCATCTACACAGCTGTCGATTGTTTTTTCAGCCGTCGTTTTCCAACCGCAAAACAGCGTTAAGGAAGTAAACACCTAATGCCCACTGAATGTCTAAGATATAACAAAAAATCTTCAGACATATCAAATCGGAATACACTTGTAAAACCTCAAAACAGCGTTAAGGAAGCAAACACCTAATGCCCACTGAATGTCTAAGATATAACTAAAAATCTTCAGACATATCAAATCGGAATACACTTGTAAAACCTAATTGATTCTACCTCGTCTTATTGGTAGCTACATATATCGAGGAAGCTGAGTTTTCAGATTTTCAAAAGTCCTACCGATATGGTCCTGAATCACATCGGTAGGACCATATTTTCCCTACTTATTTGCTGGTAGCTTATGAGGCCATTCCAGCTTCGCGCTGACGGGTAGGTGAGCTCACGGGTTCAATCTGAGAGAATTTTCTAATACTATAGCAAAAGCAGTGCTTCACAGAATCTTCCAAGCCCGTTGTCTTTAGCACCTATTCGCCACCGACGTTTCTGTACTCTTGCTGACCCTTCAAAATTAGGTATTTTACGTATCGTGCCTTATCAACAAAATAAATTCCATACACAAGTAATATTGTATATAGAGCATGGATTGTCTTGTTGTCATAGATATCGTAATTCGTGTGTTATCTCTTATCAGTTGTCGATCGAGATAAATGTGTTCTACATACATGTTTCAAAGCGTTACAACTTTCAATGTTTTCTTTAAGTTATATATATAGCAGATTATTTTATGTTAAAATGATATTCACAATTTCGCAACATTTTTTAGAGACGATTACTCAAAGTTTGTTTTGAAAAAAAAAAGACCAAAAAAGAAACAGCTGACCGCTGCTTCGATCATAGAAATATTTCAAATAATTTCAATTAATATTTCGATATTAATACGTTAACATTGAACTACATAAGTTACATAGTATATGAATTTAACTAAATATTGAATGAATAATTAAGTGGATTAGCTTGAAATAGAATTTTTATTGACCTTTAACACATAAAGCGAATTCTTTTGGATTGTTTTTGCTATCGGTTATATTATCAAGTGCACGCGAATAGAATGCGCATTTTCATTAAAACAAAAAGAAATAAATATGTATAGATTATAGATCCACTGGTAAAGTCATTGACCTTTGTGGCATGATGCCTGAAATTATGATCACGAACAACCTTTTCAACTTGATAATCGAGTTCGAATTACTTGCGTGAAAAAGAAAATAAAATAAGGAGCTTATTTACCGTTGCGATCGATGTGATAATGTTCGCTGTAATCAAACCTCCAACTACGTGAGGTCCGAAGAGCGGAACCGTCATGGCGCCCAACAAATTCGACCCGAACATTTTGAATAAAGCGCGGGTAAAATTAATAAAAAACACGGTGGCACTCGAAGATCGCCAACCAAAAGTAATCTTAGATTTTGAAGTGGACGATTTCGAGATGAATTCTTTTTATCTAAAACATATTTATATGACAATCACCGATAACTAGTGATGGATTTTGATATTCCTAAGACTAGTATCTCTTGTGAACATCGATAACGTCAAACCGATTCCCCATTGCCTGTCCTCGGATCTCCTGCAACCTCATATCTAACTAAGTGAGCTCGCGTTGGTCCGATTTTGATAGTAAAAATAAAACATCTAAATTCACATTTTCAAGTATAATAAAAGCACAAAGATATACATATTTACATATAGGTACCCATATCGTTTGCTTTACTGCAAACAAAGTTTAGTATGCTTTTAAAAAAAAAAATGATACGTCTCAAACCCTTTTGTCTTAAATGTGATTACGGGGCTTCGATCAACAATGTTGATCGAAGTTACGGGGTGATACATAATAAGCACAGTTGTGGATAACACTGAATAGCGTATTTTCCATAGATCACAAATCATATATTTTGAGGATTGAAAGGCTATTTGCTTTAAGCAAAATACAGGAGAACCATTTAAAGGTTAAAGTTTGGAAAAAATATCATGACAAAAAAAATACGGTTATTTGAATGAAGTAAACATAATTGAAATTCAATTTAAAACATCGAACTGTTGATGCTAATATCAAATAAAACGCACCCTTATCTACAAAGATAAATGTCACGTATTAAATGAAATATCATTCACCCCTCGATATGATAAAAACGAATAAGGGATTCCCTAAAGTTTTCTGAATATCATTAAATTTTAGTATGCAATTTTATACATATAAGATTAACAATATAAGATTTTCTGTACTAGGGACCGGATATGTAAATATGTATACATATAAACATATAAATGTATATCGTTACAAAACAATAAACTTTCGTTCTTATCTGATCCTTTAGGTTTTTTTGATATTGTGATATGATTATGATGATGTGACTATATTTTATCGTTTCTTCTTTGTTTTTGTGTTTTGATGTCGAAAATAATAAAAAATTTAGGTTAAAGATGTTGAATAGCGGGGAGTCCTCTGGTTAGAGCCCCGTGAGTTTACTTACTCGCTTACGCTGGCACAAACACCTGGTATACCAGCTTATGTAGGGAAAAAAAGGAAAGGTTCGCTGAATACAAGTATTTGATACTCAAAAGGAGACCCCCATTAAATAAATAATAGAATTTGTTAAACTAAACACCCAAACAAAGAGCAAAATAAACTGTTCTTCACGGGAATGGTTGGCCCCTTGATCATATACACGTCAGTGTTGACCTGAAGTTTAGGAATGATTGCAAGGTAAGTTTTTGCTTTTACACAACGATTCAAACATGCAAGAGATTCATGGGTGGTATCATAATTGTTTTTATCATACTTTATTACATGTCCTTCTTGTAAAATTGATTAAATAAAATTATCGTCGATTTTTATGACATTATTTTGATAAATTATTATTATCCAACACTTAATGAGCTGATATTAAAATTTTATTATAACAATAATAATTCGATAATAGGTACAGTAACCATATACGTATATTATAATAAATAATGTAAAAGTACACTGTTGATTACTGGACGTCTTGTGAGTCCGCACGGGTCGATACCACCACCCTGTCTATTTCTGCCGTGAAGCAGTAATGCGTTTCGGTTCGAAGGGTGGAGCAGCCGTTGTACTCTACTGAGACGTTAGAACTCATATCTCAAGGTGGGTGGTGGCATTTACGTTGTAAATGTCTATGGGCTCCGGTAACCACTTACCACTAACACCAGGTAGGCTGTGAGTTCGCCCACGCATTTATGCAATAAAAAAAATCATTAAGGTTTATTTTAATTTAGCCTTCGAATTTCTGTCTGAAATCTGAAGGTACCTGACGTTTCTTTAAGGGTAGTCTGCTTTATAAGGTCAAAATGAAANGTGGGTGGTGGCATTTACGTTGTAAATGTCTATGGGCTCCGGTAACCACTTACCACTAACACCAGGTAGG